CTCCAATTTGCAAAATGTTGAAAGAGTTCCGTATCTGAGTGTTGAGAAGAGATACCATGGGGAATGCCTGAAATAGTTTTCATGAGTAAAATGATACCAAAAATATTTATAATAAAATTAAAACTAAGGTGATTTATACAAACACACGGTATTATATGCAAAGTTGTATCTGTGCCAAAGTTCCACATATGAAGGCATGTAGAAACACGGAAGTAAAGACGCACATATTCTAGACCACAGCACTGAATGGAGGTGAGTGATCAGCTTCTTGGTGAATTGTATTATCTATGGGGGAGAAGCTTCCAGCATCCTCTGGGTAAATTTGGATGTGGCGATGAGATAAATCTATAAACATGTGATGAATCAGAGCATGATCATCCATCCTGTACTGTCACATTACTGAAGCAGCTATATCGACACATATACACAACAGAGCAACATTTCATGCAATACACTGACATACTGACATATGGACACACACACTAACATCATATACTCTGTTACATAAAGATTACCAGAGGGGATAACTTCATGAATACCCTGGATAAGTACTTGGGAGATTACAGATTTAAATAGTGGCCTGGAAATCATACATCCTGACAAAGTATTTGTGGCTATCCCTAGTCACACTACAAAAATATAAGGATAGAGCCTTAAATGAGGCGGCAACTGCTTCCTTCCACATCTTTCTAATTCATCATTCATTAATCATCCCATTTGACACCATACAACCTGACATACTGACAGCATAATTAAATAAACCATAAATACACAAATAATAATAAAAGAACAGGCCTCTTAAGAAGCTAATAATACTCCTCTATAAAAATATTGCTAACCAATATGATTTAATTTCTCTCACACAAAAATTTCAAAACAAAAAGAATATAATTTTAAACAAAATTGTTTATAACAGCTAATAAAGTATATTAATAATCAAAATATATTAAATTTCTTCATTTCACAGTACACTATGAATGCATTTGTACAGAAGGAAGTGGTTGTGGCTTATTTTAAGAAACTATCCCAGCACATATTCATAGGAACTAAAGAAAATCCTGAAAGATAATATCAGAATAGTCAGTGGTTAGGCTGAAATTCAAAAGCAGAATCTCCAACTATGAAACAAGAAGTAACCACTACACAACCACATGTTAATGTTCCAGAAAAATTTATGTAGTTTCAGACTTACCCACAATGATTGCACCATATAGGTCCTTACTCAACAGTCAATAATCACTCAACTATTCAAAAAAATTTGTGATTATTCTATCTGCCAACGGACAATGCCAAAGCCAAAATTAATCTAGTTCACACCTTTCTTAAAATCCATGTAAATTGTGCTGTCCTACTTACATACTGGTCTCTTTCCAATTAAACTTATTTATATTTCATTTTGTCCATGCACTGCGCATCACAACACATTTCAGTTAATCAATACCCTTTACAATGCAATGTGAAGTATCAAGAACTTCATCGTATCATTTACTGAAACATCTTACTTCCTCCTTCAATTCATATATTCTCCTGAACAACAGAACATACGGAAAAAATAAAAAATTTGAAATGACAGAAAAAAACCAATTTAGGAAACCGTTTATGTATCATAAATTGAATGCCCACATGTGGGCAGGAAGGTATTATTAAAATGTATCTACAGTAAATAGGGTAAAAGAGTGCAGACTATATTCTTCTGACTCAATTAAACTTCTATACTATTCTCAGTCTACACACAACAGTTAAACAACTTTTCTGTTATTTATTTCATGTCAGTATTTTCTTATGACATATTTTGGACAATACTGCTCATCATCAGAGAGAACTACTTATAGCCTATTTTGATGCTATTAATACATTTTGTTTCCTACATGTAACAAATATTTGTTACAGCCTGTGATATCACCCAAGTTGCTAATATTATAATACTGTAAAATGTCAAAATATGAACACAGAAATACATAAATGTAAATGACATAAATGAAGATTAAAATTAAAAACTGTTTGCCATTCTGGCTCAAGATTTGATCCACAAGCATGAACTTCTAAACATGGTAATGAACCTTCGGGTTCCATGAAATGCAGAAAATTTTCTGACTAGCCGAGTGATTATTAGCTTCTCTCATATGTCCAAAGACATTAGCTGCCTCTCACAGGATTAATATGTTAATGTTAAAGACTACCATTACAATAACTTACACTTCAAATCAGCCAAAATCATGCAGATGACTATCTTTAGGGTTGTAGCACATGTAGTCTGATATTAGTTTACAAGCTTTCCAGAGGCACGTGCTTTCTCCATCATCAGGGTAATAATGGATGCAGCAAGTACCTCTGAAACACTCATAACTTCTACCAGATCACATGGTGTTACAACCCAGAAGACAGCTATCTTCATACTCGTCACTGTAAGAAGTTCAAATGATATGAAATTATGCAATACCAACTGTTACTCAAATTTATGTAAGTATACAGACACATGCCAATAATCTTCACAGTTTCTGAACTTAGCATAAGTCCTCAATAACCACATGCTGCAAGTGAAACATGCTAACAAATAACAATAAGGGTATAATACTTGAATCCAAACACTGAAATGTAAAATAAACTACTTACAGTAGTTCATGGCAACCCACCATGTATAAAATGACACTATTATTTGATTTTTTACTAAAGTTTAGCTTTTCCCAACAGTTATAATCAGAATTATATACGAAAACACCAATACGACAAGCAAATCCACAAGAATGTCACCACATATAGAAAAGCGCATTACTGGGTCACAGCATTAGTTACTTCAGTATCATCTACTTTGCTTTATGAGTGTGCAAAGAATAAAATTGAAATTTATAAGAAAGACTAAACAGAAAGCACCTTAATTCTTGAAAGTGATACTAGGGCATCACATACTGATCTGGTACTCTGCCGTATTCTGCTCAATGCATCTTTCATTTGATTGCTAAGAAAGGGTACCAAGGAAAATGCCTGTAAAACAAAACCATGAAAGCTCTATGTTCTAAAGTAATACAATAGCAAGTAACTACACTGCAAGAAAGACTCAAAAAGAACAAAATAAAGTCATCTTGCTTCAACTTTGGACTTGCAGGAACAGCATGATATACCAACATTATTACACTTAAACTAATCATTCAACACATAAACGGTGCCAAATAAAAGTGATCGAGACATTACATTTCAGGACTTAACACTCTCATATCCTGATTCCCTCAAGGTTTGACACCGTTAATTCAGTTTACTTAAAAACATTTTTTCAACTACATGCTATACAGAGTCAAATGGTAGGCTGACATGAATGATTGATTGCGGTCTGAAAAGAAACAGTCATTGCCTGTTTTTAGGTACTATCCCAGCATTTTGATACTGGAACTTGGATTCTGGGCAAATAATAAAAACTTAGATCTTCCAAATACAATCTAGGAGTGCTAACAACTGAACTATAATGTTCAGTCATTTCCCATTATTGAAGGCATGTACAATATTCATGTAATTTCAGATGACTCTACCTTGGTTTTCAGGTGACAGAAAATGAAGGTTACTGTCATCACTTTTTTTTTTAAAAAAAAAGTGTTCAGTCTGACGACAGGTCCATATGAACAGGATCCTTCTATCCTTTTCTCGGACTGGGACCTGTTCATATACATTCTTGGCAGATGATCCAGAAGTGGTTTGCCATTGTCTTCTTCTGTGTGTGAATGGAGTAATTGTTGGGACGCCACGGAGAAACCGGGGAAGCCCCCGGAGGAAAACTCCGTGTTGCCTAGACCACAGCCTTGCCCAACACAAGTTATAAATTCGGGCACCGCCGGGAATCGAACCCGAGATCCCAGGATTACAAGGCCAAAAAATAAATTATTCTTGTCCTGATGACAGAGGCAGCAAGTACCTCTGAAACAGTGGTAAACTTCCACCAGACTACATGGCGCAGCGACCCAGAAGACAGCTATCTTTATGTTAGTATTGTTAATGACAGATACAAGGACAGGTTTCACAGAAAAAAGTCAATTATTGTCTACAAAATCATGGGACAGCCTTACTCATACACACAGCAAGTGTTATACAGCTCTTTTAAAATTCAAATACATTTATGGACTTCTTCTTTTATAATCCATGCTCTCTCTTCCCTCCAACAGTATCGATAATCAAGAGTAATGTGTATAATATTATGAAATACACAAAAACCAAGACTATCATAAAGATAATAAAAAATACAATGCATACAGGCTATACTCCTGTAGCAGCACATGCACACGTACAAGAAGACAAAGTGAAAATGTATTGCGTGCATTAAAAACATTGCTCATGCTGAATAATGCTACAGATGGTGAAGAAATTCTAAACCACAAATAATGAAAGAAACTAAGAAGAAGACCAAATATGCTATTTCCCATGAGAATATTAACAAAACAAATGCACATGCAAATGGAATAATTTTAAAAAACCTGTAAGCTAAGCACTGCTTTACAGCCTGTATAAATCTTTGAGCTGAATTCACTGCTGTGACTGAGAAGCATCTGCATTTGTTGCATCAGACAAATCAACGAGAATGCCTGAAAAAAGGAATTTCAGTTACCTACTCTGAAATCTCACAATAAACAGAAACCATTATTAAAATTCTTAACTAACTTCACAAATTGCTGTTGAACATCACACTGCATTTTATAAACATCTGATGGCTGAGATATTCAACACACTATAAAAAAATTATTAAAATGTGTAAAAAAAGTTATCTCAATCAGGCAGTTTGTGTGTAACAAATTAACAGGCATTCAAATTTCTATAAAGTCTAGTCATAGATATACACAACCTTCTGAGTAAGTTACCAACATCTTTATGAACCCATTGTGTTTACTTCTGGGCCATAATATTACATTAGTCCAAGAATTACCTTTCTACCGTACTTTTTTTTTAAATTTTTACTGCAGAAACTTGAGAATGATAAATTACACATCCTAGAAGGTTACCAATATAGAATTCCTAAGTTAAATATTATTGAACCTTGTTTAATACCGAATTCACATAAAACAAAATAATTTTCAGATCAGCCGTCTTGTGCATCTGTTCTTTTACATGCAATGAGGCGTCACAAACATGCCATCAGCAGAATATACATCTACAGAACTGCATACAAATATCTAGAAATGACTTATCTTTTCCATTATATCTAAAAACTGTACAAACACTCCAATAAAGTTTAACAAAAACAACATTTTAGAAAAATTTTACTTGTTCACTAAACCTTTAAATCCAACTCTAAACATACCCACTGCCTAGAAATGGCACATGACATGCCAACCCAAAATACAAGGCACATTCCAAAAGTAAGTTCTGACTTGCTGCAACACTGCAATAGTGAACACAGCATAAGCAAATCATGTTCAGTTTTCAACAGTCTTTTCCTCCCTCTCTATATATGTATCTTTGAACTAAAGGAACACTTTAATACCTCTTCTTTAGTGCTTAGTATATTGCTGTCCACAATGCAGTTCATCACTGATTGATAATCAATTCTTTGAACTCAAATCATTTATGTACAGAAAAGAGGCGTAAGTCAGATGGGTTAAAGTTGGTGATGGAGCACTTCAACCATTATGTTAGAGGGAGAAATCACAGAAACACAAAATTTGAGAAGCATGTGTAACTCAGTTTTGGAATTCATCTAGTACATATCAATTTTTGTCCATTCAACTCTGTTTTTAATACAAATTCTGAATCTATTCATACTATATGCTTTGTAAATATTTCAGTTTATTGCAGAAATTTTAAACAATATGAGCTGAAAAGGTGGGCCGCTTGCTCCCACTAAATGTTCTCATGTAACACCTAAAACACTATTATAAAAATGTAATGGTTGAAAAATGTTGCAAAATAAGAGTTAAATATTGTAAGCTAGCATGCATCTGGTCCTTATGTTCATCTGCAATTAAAACACGAAATGTTACTTAACAAAACAAGACACAAAGCTTAATACAACATAACAAACTGTTAATTACTAAAACATGACACAAAAACACACATTTGTTTAAAATCATTCAAACATGCTTATTCAGTTTCTCTACAATACTTGTTATGCATAAGTATTATATTCTAAGACATGCTTGCTGCTAAACAAATGGAACAACCGCTTAAGGACTGGGTTGTCATCTTCTAGGTCATGATGCTGTATAGCCTTGTAGGTGATCAGGAATATTAATTTCTATCCTGAAAATGGAAGTGATGGTTCTGCCAAATGTCTGAAACACCTACAAGACCACACAATATCATAATCCAGAAGATAACAATCTTCACTGCAATATAAAGCTCAAATCTCACTTAGGGATTAACAGCCGATGTTCTTACAAAAAAAATTATGTCTGGTCGCACACATCTTTGTTCAGCATCCATTCTCTCCCATCCTTACCAAACTGTTTGTCAGTTACATACTTTTTAAGCCCTTTGTACTAACAAAAATATTCTCCGATTACTACTACAGTGTTATGGCAGCCCAATGCTGGGAAGCATTATATGGCAGTCAGGCTCACTCCAACATGATTATTTTTCTTGTTTGCCAAAATGACCTCTCAACCCTCATTAACACACCCAAAAATAATTATTTCTGTGTCAATACATTGACTGACTACCACTACCTTACACTATCAAACCACTTAATCTAAATGTTATTTACACACTATGTTTCAGAATATTAAGCACAGCAGAGCAAGTCTGATTTTACTCTGTTCTACTAAATTAGCAAGAGAAGGGATTAACAAAAACATGAAATATTAAATCATTCACAAAAACAGCAACAAAATTCATTCGGAGCTTGAGTATTTTAAAAATAAATGAAAACATACAGTAGTTAGAAACATGCTTGGTTTACAGCAGGCCTGTCTGGCCATTATTTATGTAGGAAAATATATCACTTTGGGAAAATCAAAATGTAAAAAACCTGCATAAAATTTAGAGATTTTTTTTTATAATCTTTGGATAAACAATTTCAATGCAATGAACATACTAAATATGAAAGAAAAGTAACAACCTCTACATAAAAGAATTACAACATAAACATATATCAAATGATATGTAAAACAATACTTAGCAAGTCATTGTATCAAATCCATATTTCCTTTCTCTAACAAGGCAACCTAGGTCAAAAGATCAATTACAACATTTTTATGGATGCACATGTGAGATTTACAGGCTTGATCTAGAGTAATCATGCATAATCCATGCAAGAATATGCTCAGTCAGTTCTATCTTATGACTACAGAACCAAAGACAAACAAACTAAAATTGTGATGATGAAAAACATGCAGAATATGTTATAGGAGTCAAATAACAGCTCACCTCAACATTTTTATTCAATGCAGGTAAATATCAAGTATCTGTTAGGAATATAATATTTTAAAAGCATGATGATGCACAATTCCATATCCAAATAAGCTCTGAAAGGAAGAGAAACATACTGATGGATTTCAAAAGAAGTAAATCACAGTGCACAGATGTCACTTGTGTAGCAAATCACTACTTGACTGCATCAACTTTCAATCTAATGACAGGAAGTAAGTAGACTCCAAACAGCTATGGTGCAGACAGAGTGGAAGAGTGTAGCAATAACTGAACCCTGACTTACAGGACTGCATAACTATTCATTAAATACATTATTCTTTTGTTAGCTTAACAATTGTTCTAAAGCTTCTGTTCAATTTTCATTGTTACATGTATTGTAATTGCAATTACTTGTAAAAAGATCCATGTATATTTATGAAAATTATCAAGGAACGTGGACAGGAAGAAATGGACCAACAGACTTGACTCTGTTGAACTTTGTTTGATGGAGTTGTAAGATGTCTGAGGTGTACCATGTACTGGGAAGCTGGAAACAAGGCAACAGTTATTACAGCGCATAAATGAAACTGCTGCTACAATAACAAATGCATGAAAATGTTGTAAAGCAATGCCTAGCGGCATGTATTCCAGGAAACAAAGGTAATTTTGAAAACATAATTAAGTTGTAAATCTTTCATCTGATAACTCAATTAGTGATAATAATAATAATTTAACTGTAAACCAATAATTTAGTAACATAAGTTATAAAGAAAATTTATTTTGTATTTAGAAGTGCTACACTACACTACACTACACTGGAGCTAAACTTGATAATGAATCAATAATTTATCTGCCAAACATAACAGGTATATTAATCAAGAAAGTAACGCTGTCCCACCATACACAATGCAGATGCTTGGAGGGAGAGGAGACATAGCTCCTACTCATTCTTGACCCCGATATTAGATGGGGAAAGTGCTCAGCGTCATGCCCCAACCTCACTTTACTTCCCGGTACATACTGGATAGGATGGGTGGGCCCCAGAACTGGTCTGGATGCTGACGCTAAAAAATAATAATCCTTTGCCCAAGCCAAGGATTAAACCCCAACTGTCCATTCTGTAGTCAGACACTTATACTGACTGAGCAACCCTGGCCATACATTAATCAAGTGACTGAGTAAAAAAAGTCACATTAACATGGGTCCAATTTTGAAATTTTAAAGAATCATGATAGTTCAAAAGAAAGATAAATACATACTAGAAATAAGGGGTTTTAACAAAAAAACTTAAGTGTAAAACTGAAATGAAATCTTATTTAACAACAAAATATGTTACAAGAACAGTGTCCATCTGCAATATGAATGAGTTAAGCAGGGATATTACGGTACAGAAATGATTCCCAAATGCAGCCCAAGACACCAGGGAGGACAACAGCATATATTTTCTGTGCACAATTCATGTCGTAACTTATATGCACAGTTCAAATTAGAATGGAATTTTCTCAATGACTCGTCGACTGTGGACCCACCCTAAAATTTTTTGCCTTGTACAGGTATGACAAATACATACATGTAGAAACAGAGCACCTGGATAAAACTGACTAATATAAAACAGGTAAAACAACATAGTGGCATGATATGATAGAAATTCTAGATCAAATTTGAAATACCATAGTACATATAATTAAATACTAAATACATGTTTAATAACAGACTCTCCTTATCTGAAAACCACTAAATACAGAGTAAATAAGAATTTGGTAAACTAAAAGTGTCATTACGCAATATCACGGAAACACACACACATAAAATATCTCTATTACCACAATATTTGCCCATTAACCCATTTTAAGAGTACTCAGTGTATAACCAATGGATCCCTACCAGCATTTCATTTTACAGTTTTACAAAGGGATAAATAATGGATCAATATGTTATTACAGATGAGAAAAGGAAACATGATAAAACTATACTCATGATAAGCATGACGATACCAGTGAAAAAAGTTATAAACAGAGAACACAGTGCAACATCTTCGTTTGTAACAACAGCAGTAAAATGTAAACAAAGACGTGTGACAAACAGGAAATTGAATGATGACTACATAAAGTCTGCATTTTATTTGACAAATAAAGAAATGGGAAAAGACTAAGTGTCACTGTGATTCCAGTTGATATTAATTATTCCAAATAAATTCAAAATCAGACCACTGGACCACAGTTTACAAACAGTAGTATTGTCAGAGCTTGTCCTCACTGGCGATTAGAGTTCCTGTAAGCTTTCACAGTATTTATGTATAGAGCCAGAATTCTATGACTCAGTAAACATTGAAAATAAAAAACACTCAGAACCAATTCCTAGCAGTCTTGATCAGCTTTTACCATAAAATCAATGGGTAAGAAAAGAAATAAGTTTGGAAATGTACACATAGTATAACAACTCTTGCATATTTACTATGCCTTAGTATGTGAATGCTAACTTGAAAACCAGAAGAATCAGTTCCTACCTCAAATAAAACACAAGTCATCAATATTACAAAAAATCAATTGGTCAATGCTCTTAATGGGGGGGGGGGATCAAAAAATTATATTATGCAAAGCGGTTGATAAATTGTCTGATGGCTCAACAATTTTATGTAGAACTTCCAACATAAACTTTTATTAAAAATATCCAAGCAGCCATTCTTGAATTATTACATGGTAACCGACATAAGGATGGACAGATAAAACAATTTTAAAAGGCACTCCAGAGTTTTTAACATGACTAATAAAGTTTGAAACCACTGCCGTACAATATATTGCAATATTCTGTTGAAGTGCCCATAGTATCACACTGCCCAACACTATAGACAGTACAGACTATAAACTCTTCTTCACATAACCAACTCATATTTTCTTGTACAGAGTGACTGAAAAGTCACGCAACCCACATTAAAATTATTTATTGATGGTTTCAATTCAATACAATTTGATTGGATTACTAAAAGCACACAATACTGCTGTAACTATACAAGAGCCCATGAAGGTCACGTCGCTAATATATGCCAGTCCATGAGGTGCCTTTCAACAGTTGAAGTGCAAATGTGTCTTTTTCACATTGTAATGTATGCTTGTTGTCAAATACTACTGACACCTCTTCTTACTTAACTTGCCAGAATAATTTCAGGGATTTACTTCCCAATTCTTCTGTGCCAAACAAACTGATAATATCTCGTTTGGTAAACCATTTTGGTCACTGCAAAAACTCTTTACCAGGTTGTATCAAACACGAGGAAAATGTAAATGCTTGCACTGCTCAACATAGCAAACATTTCCAACACATAACTATTTTTTTTTCTAACACTAATGTAAATTATTTTTTGACAGAATATGTGCCAGGAATGGGTTGTGTAACTTTTTTATCACCATGTATATAGCAATAAAAATGACAAACTGACATATTACATACTAATACACAGCATAAATAATAAGATAACAATTTATGTAAGTAATGTGCAATACCTGAGCCGCTGTAAGGTTGTTGCCAGCGCTAATGTGAGCCAAAAACGTGATAATAGCCGAGATAACTGGAACAGTCGGTGCCATAGAAATACTTAAACTGTGGCAATATGCTGTCTTCTGCAGGAAATTACATTCCTTGCTCCTAATTCCTGATTGAGACGGCAAATAAAATTTAATATTAATATAAACAAACATTTTCTTGTGTTATATTCCTTCAACAACACGACATTAATAGCATTACTCTCTATTTATTATGCATTCAGCATCACATTTTTAGCAAACAAATATAAACAATAATCTTAACAAGACCAAATGAGATGCTCCTATAGAACATCCCATTCACTGTTACAAAAGTTTTCTTGCCACAAGTTCACAAGAGTATAAAACACTACCTCTATTTTCTTCTATTCCCAGTGCAAGTCCCAATATGACCATAAGCTGCAATGCAAGTCATGAGATTCAGCTCTGTTTTTGAGTGAGTTTCATTCATCCATCTGTTTGTGAAAGAACTGTTTATACAGTTACTATGACTGAAATATCTGCATTGTTTCTCCATGTCAAAACCCATAATACAATACTTCCTTATCAACCATAATATAGACCAACAATCTTGCCATTAAAAAATATTCCAATCATAAGCCAACTTAGGAAAAACAAGCGCAGCTTATATTTGCATAAATATGGTATTACAAGTTGTAAGACTAAATAACAACACCACTGTTCCTGGCTCAAACATCTGCATGGTCACCATGTTGGAATCATAAAGGTAAAATAACAGTTGGGGCTTAAAATGCCTTTCAATGACGTTACACGTCTACTGGCATTCACAAACACAGAAGAAACAAATACAGAAAAAATCCAAATGCAATGATACAAAGCAGAAACAGGAAGCATGTAATGTTCCATAAAGCTATCCCTCTTTGTGCAATTCAAAGACAAGTCTGAGCTGAGAAAATAGTAAAGGTTAAAGACTTACTTAATAAGTCTCTGATGAAGCATTTTTCCCATGCATAGATTTTAATAAATCGAATGTAACTGAGAATCTCGGTCATCAGTCGCACTCGCTGGTCAGACACAATCACTGTTTTGCTCCTCAAGTAACCCATCATTCGTGATATACCATACTGCAAACAAGACAAAATTTAAACAACCGACATTTTGGGTTTCCCACTACAAATATTATATAAGCTATACAGTTAATACTTGTACAAAGGCAACGACAGACAGTGCAGAAAATATGAGTTGAACCTTACCAGTATTTGAATGCTAGAGTTAACCAATCTAAACATCTCAAATAGAATGGCTCCACTCATTACAGAGCACGACAATATCAACATCTCATAAAACATAAATGTAAAACATTTTTGTCTTAAAGATTTCTGTCTTCTGGGTTGTTGCGCTGTGTAGACTGGTTGATGTTAACATCGACCAGTCTACACAGCGCAACAACCCAGAAGATAGAAATCTTCATACTCACCGCTGTGAAAACCTCAAATCTTACATTTGTCTTAGATACAAATTGACATTTGAAGGTATAAATTTACAGGTGTGCGTGTGTATTTAAGGATGAAACAGCACATCAATCTCCAAATTCTAACACACAGACTGCTAGCAGTGAAAGGGTCAAACCAAGCATATATTTAAATTTGTTCTTACTTGAGTTGGATAAAATAGAAGAAAAGTTGCCATTCCAAGAAGGGCCCATGGCCCAAGTAGCCAAAGTATATAGAGCATTCCACAGACAGTAACAATAGGGCCTCCAATGATCATTGGTCCAAAAAGAACCATATCAAAGATACGCTGTCCATCATTTGAAAACAAATTAATCAACTGAAACAGAATATAAAAATTAATAAAATTAGCAGAGAGAGACTTAAATAAAGGAAATTATCAGGATTGCCAAAATTGTGCACATGAAAAGCTGTTCAGCATAATGAACTGGGAACACAAAAGGGGGGGGGGGTCTACAACAATGTTGAAAGAACTGCTATACGATATATATCCACAGCCAGTTTTCCTACATTTCCAATTCTTCAGAAGCGGTAGAACAAATAGCTGCTGAGAATATTATTTAAGTGACAAGAAATAGGACAGAGAATATTACTTACTCAGTGGTATTTTGTTTGTCTCGTTTGAAGTAAGAGTCAATGGATTTTAGGATAATAGCGAGAGAAAACCATTAAAACTGATCTTAAAGAAATAGGGTTTGAGGGTATGGACTTAATTCATCTGGCTTAGGATAGGGTCTACTGGTAGGTTCTTGTGAACTGGGTAATAATCCTGAAATGTACGATATTACATAATAAGGAACTCTGTGATTTACACATATCGCCTACTATTGTCAGAAAATGGAATTAGGGTATGACGGGCTGGACACATAGTTCTGACAGGGAAAGAAAACAATTTCAGTGGGGAATTCTCTAAGAAAGACAAGAGGTGACTGGAGGATAACATTAAGTTGGTCATAAAGGAAACAGGTAGCAGAAACACTGAAAGTGGACAGAAATGCCTCAGGATAACTATGATGATGATGATGATGATGATAAGGTTTCATTATCAGTGATTCTGAACCTTTAGGTTCTACTTCAAAAGGATTAATTATATAAATAATTAGTATACTTACTTCTCCGACAGACTTTCCACCAAGGCTATTAAGGCGAATCACCTTCCTGTACAATATGGCAAGGCAAGCTGAGCGCAATCTTATCGCAGTCCTACATATCCAAAAGAACACTAATTACCACCACTAATGCTGTGGCAAACATAGGTACAAAGACAAACGTACTCTACCACCATCAACATGATAATAAAAATTAAAATACTGTAAGCCAAATTCTGAACCATGACAACCACTAAACTGTACTTGTAACAAGTAAGTTATACAATAAATTACAAAATTCTGCATTGATTTCCCATTTTAAAATGTCAGCTTCCTTCATGTCTAATAATCAGAATTCCCAGCCACTTGAAGAGTATCAGAATACAGTACAACCCCGATGTAACGTGGGTCGCGGGGGACAGGGGTAAACCCGCGTTATATCCGGAACCACGGTATAGCGAACCACATTATAGATGGGTTGTGTTGTACTGTACTGTGTGGACTGCGGTCTTCTGACTGTCAACATCATGTAGTTTTGTGGGTGGTTACCAGTGTTTCAAGGAAATCTAGTAGGTTGTTACTAACATTTTACAGAAATTTGGTACTGACAAACAAGAATACATGGCATCATAACTCAAACTATATCAATCCACATTTTCACTACTGTGACAACTTCAAATCTTATCAAAATTTTGTTCTCAATGCTGTTAACAGAGTGCAAACTACAGGACGTAAATTCCAGAACCATCACTTAAATGTTAAAAATGTATTACTGAAAACATTTTTCAATTGTCTCTCTCTCTCTGTACATACCTGCCAAAAATATGTCCAAGTCTGTAAATATATATTTCTCCAATAGTACATTACTGGCTGCACCAAAGTTCTTCACTTATTGATACTAAACCCCTTAAGTTAATATTTGTGAACAACCAGAAGTCAGAGAAATCTGAGTTGGGGAAGAAGGTTGGATTCAGGAGCAATGCAATTCCTTTTTCAATGAAAAAGGCAGTCTGAAAAATGCAGCAATTTCACCTGACCTTCATACTCAATTGCCAAAGAATTAGTTCTGACTTGTAAACTGAGCAAAATCAACTTTTGACAGTAAATGTTTTTACAAATGCTAGAATGTCAGAATCCACCCTGCACATGATTTGTCAACAGAAGAATGCAATATTGTAATGTACTGTTTGTTTCTGATCTTTGCCATTTCAGGGAATATCCATTTCTTTCTAGAGTTGAATAAATCCATTCTCATACATCCTGTTACCTGTAGTTAAGTGCCCAACTCCAAGAAAAGAAGATGGTTCGCAGAAATTCAGAAAGTGTGAGACACACTGCCCAAGTCACACCCTCCATCATATCTCCATTCTCATCCTCTGCGTACTGTAAAAGCTTCCGCATAAAGACTGTCTACAGACCAAAACATAATTTAATGTTATTAGGATAATGATGAGCCAGTCACAATACATGCAACTGCAACAGTCCATAGATTCCTTAACAGTCTATAACTACAATATTTTTTACAACTAGCTTCACCTGAGCCTGCCAGTTGTAATTACCACTGTCAAACTAAGAATGGGGAATGATAATGGCATTAACAATAATAAAGACAAAAAAAATTGTATTATTCAGGGATGAAATATTTAACTAACTCAGTGCATGCAAAACTGTATCAATTTTCAGTATAACATTTCTTATGTATTAGGGAGGTAAATAGAAACCGGTCACAGGACAATTACCAGATATCAACAATTTCAATAGAAACCCTGCCAATGGTTGGCTAGTACCAAAACCTGAATTCACATCTATAAACCAGAGCTAAAGAAATCCAGCATGAAGTGGGAACATCTGCAATCCAGGAAGCTAGGTACTGGATCACAATTTATAATTTCCCCGACTTGTGGAACTTTCACATCTTTTGACCTATGAAGAAGGCACTTAATAGATGATAATTCCAGCCTAGCTGGTTGTGTGTGATTGGCTGGTTTCACCAATAAACTACCTATTAGAAAGGCATCCTGCACTTGTTGACTCAGCACTGAGTGACTGGAATACACAGACCTCTCTCATTCTCTCTGTCCAGCAGGTTTATAATGAACTCCCTCACATATAGCAGCATAAATCAATAACTTTTTAAATTAGTGATTGGCATATAAAATGTTCAGTCCACATACTGGACTAATAAACCCCATGGCAACACTACATGAGAACACAAAGCTGGACATGATGATGCGAGTTCTCATGAATCTCCACACCACGGAGCCAAATGAAGCTCTCCTTGGTCCTTTGCAACTTACTTCCTCTTGCCATAGCAGTTCGAGCCTACATCAAAACAAAAGCGTTATTCAGTTTTGGAGCATTCCAATGCACAAATTATTAACAGAAGCAACAACTGGTACTAGACTGTATATTAATTTTGCAGCTAACAAATTTTCATACAATATGGAGTAAAATAATGGGTCGACTCTTTTGGAAAAGAATTTGTTAGAACAACCACGAAAAAACAAGCTGATCAGAGAATACAACATTCATAGCAAAATAGTCAAGCTTCTGGCTTTAAATTTTTAGTGATGTTACAAATTGGAAAATTCGGGCTTTCATAATCAAACTCGATATGAAACACATCTCTAATTTAAATCCTGTAAGATTCAATTCCACAACTTTTTAATAGCATGTAACTGATCGCCACTGCAACACACAAGTTCCAATTTAGAGACAAACTTCTGCCACTTTTGTATAATATCTGCAGCCTCTACTGGTTACCATGGTAAGCTAGAGTAAGATGAATTTCGGATGTTGACATCCACTATATTGAACAATATAAGCAGCCTTTACTGGCTACCATGGAGACAGTAGCTTAAGATTCAACAATTAATTATTTACAGCATAAATAAATAATTATTAATACATTCACAAATATGTGAAACTTTCATATACCTTTGACCATTAAGATCACAAGAATCTAAAGGTGAACCTTCAGGAATATCCTCTGCAGTGAGACCCTTCTTGGAGGCTTTATACATGTATTGAGACATCCATGAAAATGAGATGAAAGAAATTAACCCAGCACTGTCAACAGATATCACATCCCTTTGCCTGTAATAGAAGTACACATACAGACCATTACAATTTCCACACTTGCAGAATGCTACTGAAGCAGATTCAATTCAGCAAGGAAGTGGAACAATAGAAACATACTTACCTTCACCAGTATGATTTCTTAGCCAATTAATTTAATTTTACAATAGCTATCAAAAGCCCTTGTAAAAACTCTAATGAAAGAACAAAATAAAGTTTATGCACTCTTTTGAATAGTAAACATTTAAATGCAACCTTTCTGGCAAAATTAAAGACAACTGCTCACTTCAGCCATATACTAAAATTCTTGTGTGTATAAAAATATAGTCTATTAAACTGAGTTGAGAAACAATAATAATGCAAATGTGATTTTGTATAAACTTCATTATGATTTATGATGTGTTTGGTTTCTGCTAGTAATTTTCTAAGGCTGAAAGGTTTCATGTACAAAATGATTTGAGAATCCCTTCTCTAAAAGAACGATACAAAAGTAGCTCATTAAAATTACATAATTATACAAACTTGGCTTTCTTGCGAACAGGAATCAGGTTCTTAAGTGCAGTCTTGTACTTTCTGACACCATGACCAGGAATATACTGTGGAGACGTACGAACATATGCTCGATATGGACCATGTCTAATACTGCCTTCTGCAGTTGGAATGCTGTAACTGCAGTAAAGCAAGGTTCATTGTCATACAATCAAAACATATATAAAAACAGAATTTTCAAGATAAACTTAAAAATTCCACAGAAAGACCATAATAGCAGTATTTTTCAACCACAGTTTCACAGAACCATGGGTTTGCATAAGTATCCATCAATCTGCAAAATGTTTCTTATCACTATTCCAGAAGAACTGTTCAAAACATGTTGATCTCCACTTATAATGGCAGGTTGTTATAATTAAATTTGCGCCTATGTGGATCACTGAGAAGTATTTGGGTATGTAATCTCTCTTCTCTCCCATATTCAGAACCATTCTGTTGTCTTATCAGAGAGACTGGCAACCCATGGAAAAAAAAATCAAACTGAGAATAAAGTACTTCCATAAACATCTAACATGACACTGTGATACCTTTCAGATGTCATAATTTAGGAGACTAACTTATAAAACTGATGAATATAACAAAGCACCTGGTAGTCTTATAAATGCATAAAATCTATGAAACAATTACATATAATATACCAAGTCTAAAATCAGCCAAAGACCAAGACCTGGAAGTTCATTCCACAGTGCATATGTAATTTGAAGATAGGATAACAACCTTCTGAAATTCCATGCAATACATATATTTTCTGCTTCAAAACGGACCTCCCGCATATTCTCCAAACATGCTATTTCTTTCTTCTGATTACAAACAAACTAGGAACAACAAAAGATTAGGCTTTGTTCTAGTTCTTTCTTCCTTATACAAAACTTTTCACATAAGTGTCTTTATGAGCAGAACTTCTAGAGGCTGGGGCTGTATCTCCATAATGCAGTGACAAGTTAGAATTAGGTGATATTTCTAGCACCTTCAAATAAAACTCAGTGATAGATATACATGTGTTCATATTATAAATGTGTTCTAAGGTAGTTGCAGCCAATTCCGATAAGCCCCTTGCACTTCCTCATAAGTTTCTGAAATAAAACACTGACTCAGAAGTCAGAAATGGTATATGTGTACAACATATGAGTTGCCCTAAGGTAAATAACGTTTGTTCCATTAATAAAACCAAACACAGGATAAGAGAAACTGTCCTGAAACATTGCATTGTTGGGTCTAATGTATTTTGAACTTTAACCTCTTTACCTTTCACAGTCACCTTTTATTTTATATCAGAAAAATAACTGGCCTTATCATTTTTGTAAACGACACAGTATTTCCATACCTGGGTCCCGGAGTCTCTCGAATGTGTTCATCCTCTGAAAGAGGGTATGCCTTAACATCACTACCTTCTTGGGACTTGCTTCCCTTCGAGTTGTCCCCGTTATTCATAATAAATATTTCTAACGTAGTTAACTAAAAAAAATACAAGTGGTTTAAGCAGTCTTAAGCACTCAATTACATGAAACATTACACTGCAAAGTGAATAGACACCGACCACGCCCGAATTCATAGATATCACACATATTGTACGTCATCTCTAATCTGTGTGTACATAGATAACTTGTGGAGACACTGAAACAAGGACTTGTGAAATAGCACGTCTGCCTGACTATATTAAAACAGTACGTAGATTTTGGCCAATTTTACAAAATCCGCAATTCAATGATAGTGGTTGGCAAAACAACATTGTTCTGCCATCTTTGAATTAATGTATGAAGAACGCCTATGAGGGTTATCGTTATGGCCAACGTTAACAATTCCTTTGTCCCTCTTCTAATTAAACAAAGACTGCTGATATACCAATGGGCACGTTGAAACCTTTACTATGTCTAAGGCGCATGTTAACTGGCACAATCCAGTCTCATGTTTGACTTGTATCCATTAGTAAGAGTAAGCTTCTCATTGTGTCAAGTTACTTTATAAATGAAATACCAATAAGCATAAACATTAGGTGGTTTCAGGAATTTTATTTAATGGTCTTCTTGACCCAGAACATATTTTATTCTCATTAAGTGTGGTTTACATTTAGCAGGTATGTAAACAGTCAAAACAGTAGATACTGGTCCATAAAAGCTGTTCATGAAGTGTACACAAAGTGAATGTCAAGAGTGTGGTGTATAATTAGTGATCGAAGAATGGCAAATTATTTTTAGGAAATAATAAATTCTAAATTTTATTAAAGATTAGTTTTAATTTTGACACCCTTCTATGATCAACTGATTGAATATAACAAAATATGCAGGCATTCCATACAGGATGCTACAGCCCACATAGGTAATAATTTTACAAATGCATTACCTGAAATTTCATGAATAAATGGACCAACTACTCACACAATCTAAATTCTTGTGATTTCTAAGAATTGAACACACTAAAAGGTAAAGTATGTGTAAATAATACTCATCCAATACATAAACTGAAAGAAAATATTTAGCAATAAATTTCCATTATTCCAAGAGAAAACTCTGTTGTGTGTCTAGAAACATTCTTTCAAGATGCAAGACCTACACAGAAGAAGAAGGTCAACACTCAAAGACTACTTTGAACTAAGGGAGATCATACTATACAAGAAAAGGGGGCAGCAAACAAGCGGCTTGTCTTGCTCTACTATGTAGGCTGGCTGTTATACCACCATATAAGATCTGGACTCATGAAAAATTGATAAACAGACCATGTAGGAAACTGGCACAAGATATCTTTATTTTATTTTGGGGGGAAATATCCAGCATAGATGAATTACCCAATTCACTATTATTATTGATGGAAGGAATTACAAACTCAATAATCATAAACACATTCTAATAAAATTTTAATGTCCCATAGTTTTCAGTAGACCCAGTATATAACTACCAAGTTCTTCATCTTGATTGTCCCAAGACACATACACATTCTTCTGTTCCTCCTCACTGCCTTCAACTTTCACTAATACAGATTCCACTGAAATTGATCCTTCTGTAAGTTGAACATGCCAATCTTTAAGTCTGGTCTTAATAAGATGCAGTAACTTCTCAGCAGTTTTACTTGCTGGTCCAGGGTCTTCCATTCTTAATGTTGACGTAAACCTAACAAGATGCCTGTTGATTCCAGCTTCTTTGCAAGCATCATCAACATCCATTAAACACATTGAACTATCTTTCATAACTAATACACCATGCATCACACGTGGTCGCTTGGGATCAGGAGGTAGTGAATTATGTTTCTGGGCTTCAGTCTTCAGAAGTTTCAGTGAAACGTCCAGTGGGATTGTCATAGATGTGCTCACAACACATGTTTCACCATTGGCTGGCATATAACATTCTAAATCAAACTCTTTCTTGATCTTCTCTTTCAGAAACTCCATCTTTGCAGCTTCTCCATGAACAAGCATAACATTCTTGGGCTGACAATACTGAATCAGCTGCATGATTCCTTTGGCATCAGCATGTGCTGAAAATGACATGTACTGTACTGACATCTTCACTTCTACTGTTTGTCTATTTTCAAATTCTATTTTTTTTGCACCATTAAGGACTTTGTGGCCAACAGTACCAACAACACAGAAACCAGGCATTATCACCATGTTGTTTTCATTGGGTGCCCACTTCTTGAAAATCTGTAGTGACAAGCCAGCATGAAGCATGCCTGGTGTGGCAAATACAACCATAGCCCCTGGGTTATCAATGTAGGCTTTGTCAAATGGTTTAATATGCTTGAAATCAAACATATTTCTCTGGACAAATGTTTTACGTATTTTCTGATTTGTCCATGTAATAAACATTTTGTAATAGTTATTCGCTTTTTCAGTAAGACCAACAGCAAAATAAACAGGTACTTTCAGGTTCATTCGCTCCCAATATGTTTCAAGTAGGATGCACAATTCTTGTGCTCTTCCAAGGGCAAACACAGGAATCAAAACTTTGCCACCACGATCCACACATTCATGTATTTTCTTCAGGAAATCACGTTCTCTACAACGTTTGGAATCTCTGATTGTGGTTGCATATGTAGATTCACTTATAAGGAGGTCTGGGCGGCACTTGTCAATCCAAGCAGCTCCAAGATGGCGATCTGGTGTCATGTTGTAGTCCCCTGTGTATACAACTGACTGAGAACCAACACGTATCCAAAACATAGCAGCTCCTAACACATGGCCTGCATAATAAGCCTTTATCTCCAAATGCCCATCCACCATTACTGATTGATGTAAAGTTACAGCCACTACTTTCTTCATGCAGTCCTTAATGTTCTGCGATGTGAAGAAATTACTCTCCCCTTTTCGCTCAACAGCTACTTTACGCATATCTTCCAAGAGAATAGGAGCAATGGCTTTTGTTGGATGTGTCATGTAGATTGGACCTGTATAACCAACCATTTCAGTGAAATACGGCAAAGCACCACAGTGATCCAAATGAAAATGAGAAATTATTACACAGTCAATGTAACTTGTCAAAGGTCCATCTGGAGCTATGTAAGTGAAGTCTGGAAACCTCCGCTCATCATTAAATCCCATATGCATGCCACAGTCAAGCATTATATTCTTACCACCCATTGACAATAAAATGCAACTCCTTCCAACATCCTGTCCAGCACCCAATGGTGTAATCTTTATTTCTGGCATATTAAGTTGGTAATTTAAGGCCAGCGTTCTTTATGTAGAAATAGGTAATCACACTGTTCCTATGATTCACATGAGATTATCTTCATGCTCAGTACGTCTGTCGCTTAAAAGTCACTTTCTTTTTCTATAATGTGCTGAGATGAGATGTGTGTGAAAATATCTTATTACTCTTGCTCGTGTCATATCAACCCATGCTCCCTTCGTAACAAACACGACCTGCGAACCAAACTGAAATCAGACATTTGTAAACGATTCCCGACTTAACACAGTTACCAACTACAACGGATCGATTGTGCGTTATTTCTTCAGACGACTTCAAAGCGTCTAGAGTCAGTTATTTATAGTTTACATAAAAAACAATAAAATGGCATGTATTGCATAGAAAAATATATCATAATTTGTAAACATAGTCTTAAAGCCGTGCAGTGTTGAATATTCATGTGAAATATATAAAATCATGCAAATAAATAAAACTGTTTACACTTTGGAAAAACACTGTGCCAAAGGTCGAAACCCGTTTGACACTAAGTGTTTTTCAGTGTAAACAGTTTTGTTTGTATGCATGATTGTAAACAAAGTGTTTCATATTCATATAAAACGAACGCGATTGAAGGGCGATTAGGAATTATAGATGTTACGAATGAGGTATTTCAGACAATTTATCTGTTACTATTATTTTCAATTTCGTTACTTATACACTCTACAGTGTCACTCATATGGAATAATTATTCCCCGCCTCTACACATGGAGTGTAGAGTTACCCAATGTCACATCAGTTTAATTTTTACGACCACAGTACATCACAGAACATAAATAGCACAAGGATCGTTGAAAATGGATTACACCAGAAACAATTAAATCCTCATCCCATGATTATTGATATGTGAAATGCAGTGAAGGAGAAGAAATTTCCCTACTCAGAAATATGGTATCAACTACTAATGCTACTGAATAAATTCCATACCTACTGTACCCGCTCCGCAAGAAGTCTGCTAGGCGTGGGCTGGGTACGAATGGCTACACTATTTTCTTTAACAAAACACGGGTCCATCCCTGCTGAGTTATTCGTACACACAATCCTCTGCATTGCCACAGACTACTCTACTGCTACTACGTGGCACTACAAATTACTATATAGTTTTATTTAGTCCCTCCACTGCATTTCCTTAATTTTTCTCTTTTGTATCCTTTCATATTGTATTCCCCAGTCTACTGCCATGGTTATCTCTACCTTACTTGCTTCACCAGTTTGAACCTTTGCTGTCTTTGTCCTCATCACATTCCTACTGGTCTGAACAACTGGTTCTCATATTTGTAATCAGCTCCATAAGCTTATTCCTTGCTTGGTGCATGGCTTAACCATCACCCTAATGATGGAGACAGTAAGAACTTCTGAAAAAACAGTAAACTTCTACTGATCTACATGGCACAGCTTCCAGGAGAGTAATCTTCATTCATGATTTTTCTGTAGTTACTTTAAAGTATTGTGTTAGTACATTCAAAGAGTAGCCCACATGGTCACTTTCATAAGTATCCCTTGTTCTTATTTATCCTTAATCACATGTTGACATTGAACCTCTGTAATCAAAGTCTGGTAGAGGTTCTGGGGATGCAGTAAGATATCACTATGCATGCAAACAAATGTGCAAAAACCATTTTGACAGCTCTACCAACAAATTATATTGTTGCATTTACATCATGACCCCTGGACTGTGCAGAAATTGTTAACTACGAGGGAAGGGCAAGGGTTAGTCTTCGCCTCCTTAATATTAGAACCTTTTGGCTAAGGAAATGAGCACTAGTCTGCAGTGTAGCATCCCAGTGTTATACTGATCTTGGATTTTCCTGTATGCCACTTTTCAGTCCATTTACTTCAACATTAAAAGCCAGACTGATGACGACTTCAACATGTTTCAGACCAACATAGCTTTCATCAGTTCCAATTTCCTGCTTCTGTATCATTGCACTATGCTTTTCCTTCCAGATGTCCAGACATAACAATATTTAACTATTTTAATTTATTTAATACAGTTAAAAGTCAAAATGGAAAAAAAGATTATCAAAAATGTTTTTAGCCAGCCTGATGAGTCCTAGTGCATCTTCTCCAAGTTGTATGTGCTATGGTGCATCATTGTAGATCCCATCATGTCCCTGAAAAGGCAGCATGGCATGATACGTGGGCCAAATGCCGAGAGCAGCTGGCACCACTCCTGTTCACAAGTACTTTAAACTAGGGCAGAACTGCTTCCTTCCATATTTTTTTCAATTCAGTGTTCATTAACATTGTTGCAGGGGAATATGAGATTAAAATTTCCATACTATGGAGCTGCAGGCCCAACTTCAAATCCAGGATTCCTTGCTTAGTGGTATGCATGGTAGCTTAGAACTTGTGATGTATTTTCAGACCCCATGTAAATTTCCTTTCTACAGGTAGCCAGGCTAAGTGGATATGATAACTCACCCCAGTGTACGGCTCACGTACAATGTGCAACTAGCAAAATTAAGTTTGGGGTGGTATAACTGGCACCATCAGGGGAGAGGTTTTCTTGGTTTTAATTTTAGCACTGTACATGCTAGATGGGCATTTACAGTAGGCCTACATATTGCAATGGGTGAGATAGGTTGGTCAAACACGTGTGCACTGCATAATTCCAGTTAAAGCTATATGTAATGGAATTAAAGTAATATGTACCAAGGTTGTCTCTTTGATTAGACACCCCCATCCACCCTGGGGACAAAGCCAGCAACAGATCAGTGGTTACAACCTCAGCCTGCCTGTAGGTCTAATATCATGACACTGATGATTCAGATGCATGGACAATAAAGGTTATCACCCTACCATTCAACACTGTATCTGCGCTGCTGACAGTGGTATTGAACAAATTGTACATTCAATACAAGAGTCTCTATTGGAAGACTGATAGTCTAGAAATTACCTGCTTTTACTGACCTCGTCAGTGTTATAATAAGACCACAACTGGATCCTATCTTATACAATTTAATTCCAATCCAAACCTTCACACCCTGAACATCCATTTTAATATTATCCTTCTTTATTCCTTAAAGTTTAATCAAACACATTTACTGCCAATGATTTGTGGCATCATAGCTAGTCACTGCAACACACACCTTCACTCAAGGTTAATATTCAGTATTAAGTATATACTTCTGTTTGGGACATACTGTACTTCCAATTCTCTAACAGATGCTACCAAAAAACAACTAATCTTTACTGATAACAGAGGACAGTTTATAAGAATCTAAATATGTATTTATTTTCAGCATACATTAAACTAACTTTGATATCTATTGTTCATGACACCCAGGCAATGTGAAAACAATTATAGCAATTTGCATCCTGTTAAATAAATTTTTAACATAATTTTGAAAATATATTACACAACAGCAGTGTGGAACCAGTTCAATAATTTACATATGCACTTACTGACAAACATTTGCAGAAGCAGCATGGTAGGACAGAACAAAAACTGCTGCTCTATACTTTACAACCAGCTTCCCCTGTGCTTAAGCACCATATCATGAAGACATAAAGTATGTTCAGGTAAAACTCAAAGCATGGCCTAAACAACAGATGAAGGTAAGTGAGCAGTTTCATGCTTCATCTTTACACAGTACCCATGATGATGATGGTGGTGGTGGGGGGCAATAACCATCTGGGACCAAGTGGCAAAGAAAAACACTGTTCCTACCAGAAACTGAATTTACAACATCCAGTTAGTTTTGCTGCTGACTAGTCTATTATAGCCCAAGCAGTTTAGATTTAATTAGCATAAATGATAAAGTTAACTACTGATATAACTAAACTCCTACAACTCTGGTAGTAGAACCTGAAGGTTCAACACGGCTAATACCAAAGGTAGGCATAATCTAGAACCAGCTCTATCCACACCTCATCCTCAGAGCCCAACTCCACAGATTCTTTGTAATACCATACTTAACCAAACACTACCCACATTTTCTTTCAAACACTTCTGCATCAGAAAACTGGATGTGCAGCATATTTAAGCCTTTGATTTGGGCAGCAAAATGTACCGTGTGAATATACGAGATGCTGCAGTAGAACTGGCAACATCATTCACATACTTGGGTAGACTTCTAGGGTGGGTTTTGAAAAAAAAACATTATAATGTTCAGATTTAGCATGTTTAATTCAGATAATATAAGTTTACTTGCTTAAAAATTTTGCACATATATTGGGGGCAGGAATGTTTTTTTGGATAAATATATTACTTTTCATTTCCTTCATATTCCAAATACCTGCTCTCCAATGGGTTTTGTCACCAAAATTATGTAAGATTTTCTCGTTCTTTAACACTTCTGAACATGACAAACAGTGGAAGCTTCCATTCATTGGTTATATGAACTACTGCATACATATGCCATGTCTCGTCACAAACAGCTCCGTCCATTCTGCATCAATCCAAATGGCATACTCTACACAATGGTACTACTGTGCCATAAAATTGGGGTGTAACCATTATCTAAGAGGGACAATAGTGTGCAAATACAGCAACATCTATGCTCATTCTATTCTTACATGAACTACTGCAGATAAGATCATGAAACACACCATCAAGAATTCCTTTACAGAAATTTCAAACCCAAAACCGTGTTACTACAGCACATTTATATATCTATAAAAGAATCCCCACACCTGAACCCTAGAAAATTAACTTAATTTTTATATGATTCTGAGAATACAGTTCATAAGATCAATGCAGTATCTGTTAACTGCAAATTACACTATATTTATCTACTTACTGCATGACAATTCAATACAAGAATACCTGACTGAAAATGGCTGCAATGGGACCAGAATTTATTTATGTCCTAAAATTTATAACCACACGATTTAAACTATCTACACAGACAATATTTGTGAATCATAAAAATGAAAAGTTACAATATGTCAGGGATTAACTGGGTGGGGGTGGGGGTGGAGCTGCAAGTAGACTTGGCAACCCTGCCAACGCATTGATATCAACACCCTGTCCATTGTGCCCAGGGGGTGGTGGAGGCTGGACTGGCTGTGGAGGAGGCACTCCTATGAAGTTCTGATGCCAAGGGAACATATTGGGTGGAGGGGCCCTATTGGGTGGTGGTACTGGGCCTGGTGCCGTGGCTGATAAGGGGGGTGGAGGCTGCTGCCATGGTGGCAGACCCGGGGGTGGAAGAGTTGCATGTGGGGTTTGCTGCTGCCCCTGCTGTTGCTGCTGTGCTGGTTGCGGCTGCTGTGGTTGCTGGGGAGTTGGTTGTGATCCAGGTGGCGGTGGTTGGGTCTGCGTCTGCAGCCATGGCAACAGTGGTGGGATTGCTGCTTGTGAAGTTGTCACAGGTGGTGGCTGGCTGGTTGGTGGTGGTGGAGGTGGTGCTTGTAGCAAATTAGGAGGAGGAATACTTGGTGTCTGCCATGGTGGGGGCATAGCTAATGAAGGAGCTGAAGGTGGAGGGGGATGATTCATGTTTGGAATCATGTCTGATCCTGGAGGTTTGTTTGCTGGAGGCATCACAGGACTCCATGGAGGAGGTGGCAAAGTATTTGGGATCAACTGTGGTGGGGTAGGCATCATGTTATGCTCGAGTCTTGGTGGAGGAGCCATGATGGCACGTGGAGCCATCTGACGATCAAACAAGCCCATGTTTCCACTTGAACCTGAGCGACGTCCAAACCTGTTCTGCCCAGAATCACGATCATTGTCTCTGTTGGGAGGAGGACCCTCACCCAGTTCTGCCATAAGAGACAGGTACTAGAAAAACAAACAGATAATGCCAAATTAAAATCTGACCAATGGCAAATACAAGGACAATGAAATCTGTTTTATCTAATGATTTTACATAATGTTACTGAACTCAGACCTCGATAGTATGTTATTTACATTGTCAATGGAAGGAAGATGACGTTAGTTGACAAGGCCTGCTCAGTACTGCTATTGAAAGTAACATCTTTGTTGTATGCAAAGAAACTGTGGAGTGAAAATATTATGAATTTCAACTGTTTTTGGACATTATAAGTAACTATTAGAACGAAATTGTTTGAATTTGATAAATTCTCATTAAACTGAGGTTGCACGGTATTAGCAGGACCAACACTAAAACACCAATTAATTCATAATACCTCTTCATCAATTTTGTTCTTGTCACCAGCAGCATTAGGCCCCCCTGCACCTGGTCTTTTCTGTCGACAATCCCTGGCAATATGCCCAGCTCCCCCACAGCTTGAACATACAATGTTGTTTGTCACATTTGGCTTGTCAGGGCACTGAAACAGTCAAATGGTTTTATTAAGATCAAACAATACATTACCTTGTAAGTACAGAAGTAAACACGTGTAATAGCATACCATCCAGGATTTATGGTCAGACGCTCCACAATTTGAACACCGAGGTCCTTCATTTTCTCTCAAAGTTCCATTCAATAGTGCTAATTCCCTTAGTTGCATCCGACGTAAATCATTCTGGCCTTCAGGAACCTCAACGCCTTGGCGAATAATCTCTTTGATCTGAAAGAACATAACTTGTTTTAAACAAAGTGATCTGGGATGCCCACCTTTCTTCAAAATTTTCAATCCCTTTTACAAGACAAACAAAACTTATAAATTAAAGATCATACTACATCATAATTCTGTGTATAATTCTATAATTCTGACTACGAGACAATTCAATTATAATAAATTTGTGAAATAAAACCTAAAGGTTTCACACTGTCACAATATTTGTAATTGTTAACATGCAAACACCATATCAAAGCAGGATTTCAGGTTCTCACAGCAGAGTATAAAGATGTCCATCTTCTGGGATGTAGTTCTACCAGACTACACAGCCCTACAACCCAGAAGACTGCCATCTTCAAACATATCAAAGAATTTATGCACGTGTTTATGATGTACCTTTACACCAAATTTCACATGCCTGTTTCGAAAATATCAGCAGTTATCGGAAATAAATGTTTGAAGCTGTAATCTTGTGTAACTCATAGTTTATATCATGAATCTTTCATGAATCAAGCTATTTCTAAGAAAATCAAGTTCAATGTAAAATAAGCTTGTCCAAGAAGAAGCTAACCGTTTGGTACCGACAGCCCCCTTATACCAAATGTCATCACAATATAACATTCAGAAGGTGAAATATATGGACATATACACCCAAGCATTTATTTCATCCATTTTGCACAAAGGGTGCATAATACACAATACAGAATTTTCATTTCTTACTCTATCAACTGCTTTCTTGACAGCTTCAGGATTATTGGCAGTCACATATGCATGTAAAGGCTCATCTTCTCCAGGAAGTGGTTGACCATCCTTGCGTCCAACTTTCCCCTCCTTCACTGATCCTTTCCCACGAATAATTATTTTAGCTCCAGTATCTCTCTCCATTGCTGAAATCAACATGTCAACAATGCAAACTGTCTAAAAAGACCTACTGCAACAATTTAACCATTACTAAAAGTCTTGTGTTACTACATGTTGTGTGACAACATACATGAAATACCCCTACATTCCAAATTAGAGAAGTGGGTTTAGAAGATTTCTATGTTATAAGATGAACTACTGCACTTATTGCGTTAATGCTGGTGGACACACAGTTGTGTTAATTAACACTGATAGGACAAAAGACATCTCTACCATCACATTTCTGTAATGCATGATAATGAAGGAAACTTACATTTTAGTGTATTTCCACGAGGTCCAATCAACAAACCAACAAAATTGATATCGGGATGGTCATCCTGAGGAATCATTACTTTATCACTGACTCGAATGATGGGTGGCCTGCAAACAATCAAATGTTAGTAAATTCTGTGAAGCAAAATGAAAACCTCAAGCCTATATAAAGCCAGCTACACACGTACAGGTATACCTGAGAGGCACGTCTGTTCAGGCATACCTGTACATGGTTAGCCGGCTGTAGTGATATAAACAAACATACTTGTAGTCTGCAGGAGGCTTGAAGTCTGGGTTCAGACTAAGCATCTGCTGGATAAGATGATGACGTTCCTCCTCGAGACGTTTCCGAGTACGATACTCACGGGTGTTCAAACGCTTCCCATCACTGCTGTAGATTGGCTCTGGAGATGGAGACCTGAGATACATGCCATCATTTAATTAGAAGACACAACATGTAAGAATGTTGTTCTAATTATAAATGCTTCAGTTTGTGTTATGCAGAAATAAAATTGTAGACGCAATTATAGCTCCTTGAAAAATTATGCAAAGCCCTACTTGCCAAACTAAAATCTCATTCCAGACCCAAAGCCTTTGAAAAACAAAATGGCAACATTATTAACTCTTTACTGTCTCAACAATGAAAGAAATTCACATGTTCTTATATATTTTTGTTGGGACATCTGAGAAGTTCTCTCCATATGAAAACAATCAATATAAATACAGCATTATAAATCCAGCAACTTCTTTTAAAAGTACTGGAATCTGCTCATTTATCTCTAAACAAACAATGTAAGACCCTTACTTTCCTTTATACAGCAACACACTACAGATGACATTAAGAGAATGGTTGAATATTACTGCCAACATACTAACATCGATAAAAAAACTGAAACAAATATGTTTATGAAAACGAGAAGTCTGAATTTCTCCTCACCAGCTCACAAAAGTGATTTGCTTCAGGAAAGCAGGTGATTATTTTAAGCCCCAAATTTTGTTGAAAATAGTGAAGCAATCCAGAACAATTTGTCATAAAACGAGACATTATGTTCCATACACTGTATCATGCCATTTACATAGCACAACATTTAAAAATGAAAGGGCTGTAAGGTTGAAACTGCAAATCAGTGTCTTGTGCAATTATGCAAAATAATGAAATATATGAAACAAAGTGTTCATGAAGAAATCATGGCTCTATCAACAACAGATCCGTATCTGAAATAAACGCCAGTGACGACTGCAAAAGTGCACAGAATGAACTTCAAAATTGTGGATATTCTGAACTGGAGTAACTCTTTTAATCTTATTAAAACTGTTTAAACATTTATATAAACTTCTAGTATGTGGAAGAACAAAACTGTTTTATATTGTGAATTTGTCAAAGTTTACACATCCAGCATCCCATTATGTTCTTAATGCTGTTACTAATACTGAACAGACATGATTACAGGTATGGAAAGAAATGTTTATATAAAATACCTTTCACTCTTCTTAACTCATTGTCTAATCTAGTTAATTTCATAAGTAACACATCCATAGGTACAATAAAATGCCTGCCAAAAAAGGCAATGCAGTTTTCTAATACACTTACTGATTTATTTTAAAGTACTGTAAAAGAAAAATATAATATACTCGAACTCATGTAGTATCAGCTGTAGTTCTAGAATAAAGAATGATTATTTAAAACGTACAGTATAAAACTCCCAGCAACTAAATGCCAATGTTACTTATGAAACTGCAGTAAGACTCAATCCTTACATGTAAGATTTTGGGTAACAATAGTAATCATCATATAAAACATTACAAGGCAAAAATTCAAATGGAAGCAATGAAAATGCAGTGTATGAAATAAGGAAAACATCAACAGAACCTACAAATAATTTGAAGTGTTTGGTGATGGTAACTGTCAAAATAAGTTGGTTTTTAACCAAAACTGATGCCACACTGATTACGAATGTCTACAGACTTCAATGAACAAAACAAACAGATGAATGTCACTGGGCAACACAATGAAACTAAAGCTGCATAAAAAAATCTCAGCATGTAATACCACCAAAAACATGCAACAATCCTACACCTCTTCCGTAAAGGGGAGACCAGAAGTGCAGTACAAGTACAGCCTAGAAAGAGAAGCGCACCTTTATAAACACATTTCTTAGGCACTGTCAATGTAATGTTGTTAAAACAAGGAATATTTAGGTTTGTAACAATAGGCGCTCTTTGTTATTTTCAATATAATAAGCACTTCTGATCACTCTCCACAGGCCTATCAATATATGTTCGACAATGTGGCTAGTCGTTAATTATTTTTACAAACTGCTACTTTTGAGTCAGCTTCACCCCACTGGCAACACAGTATTACCACTGTTGACCACTATCAAATGTAAAGTATCCAATTATTCAACAGCTGCCAACTACTGTTTCATTTGATCGTCTAAGAGTATTTATATTCCATGCAGTTTCTGATGTGACTGAGCAAAATGAAGGAAAGTGAAATGAAGTGTTCACACATTTCCATTAGCAACCTGCCATGTGGGAGTGATAGGGATAAATGTGTCTACACAGAACTAAAATGTCACACACTTCTGCAGTGACCGGACATGCAGAAGTGAAAGAGTAACACAGAAATCTGTCTACCAATAAAGTTGTTTGGCGTGAATTGCAACATGGATTATTGACAACTGAAGTTAATCTAAAATATTTTTTTTAATTCCTTGATCTCATCTTTGACCAATCATTCTCAATAAATTATTTTCATTTTCAGCTTTTAAATCTGTTAGTTTTATCAAATTAATGATTGCCATTCTACACAACAAAGTGATATTTGACAAAGACTTCAATTTCCATTCCTTTACTAAATGGTCACCTGTGGGAAAATGAGAATTGGAGATACCTGGCATTCTTCTTTTCATGTGGCATGTGCTGTCAAGACAGGCATTGTACATTGTGTAACAAGTTATGATTTGGCAGTTAATATAAAATACCTCTTTGGTTTAATAAGAAGTTTTAAAGACCTTACACCCATGAAAAAAAGCAAAATTCTAGATAAACAACACGTCACAACTATGCAATCCAAAGACATAACCAAGCCATCACCTATAACTGCAATTAATAAACCTAAATATGTTGTCATGACCTGAATTACAAATATTAAATTATTGCCACACTACACAGTCACTGTGTTGCTCCAAAAAGCCACACACACTATGTAGATGCCATGTTCAATTCCTGCAGTTTTGAAACTAAAATAAATGTATTTTTTATAATACAGTGTAAATTGTAAGATAAATATGCTGCTTCAGTATTACTGAATACATTTAATTAAAATTCCTGCAGTATAGACAGTAACATAAAACAAACTTAATTATTTGCTGTCTGGGGGCAATTTTTACCTATTATCCAGATGTTTAACTGCATGAATGTCTGTTATATAAAATGCTGTGAAGTCTCATTATAAATGTCTATTGTATGAAATGAGGAAAGTGTAAATTTCTACATTTATAGGAAACTGGCATGAGAACTACAAGCAATAAAACATTTTAGTTTTGCACAGCAGTAAAAATGTGTAATACGGGCAATTCTCGGTTTACGAACGAGTTCCGTTCCAAGACGTTCGTTATACGTTTTTGTTCGTGTGTATCTTGCATTCCTGAGCTTCTACAATACGTATCGTACACATCAGCAGTCATTTTAAAGCATTTAAACCATGTACTAAACATCGAATGGTCTATACAATACGTTTTGTTATGATGTATGTGTGCATTATGCGAGAAAACATTCCACGTGGCGTGGCATGTTTTTTTTACTGGCTATATTAGGTTTATTAACCAAGAACATTTCAGTATAATTATCATACAATAATTTTCTGATAATTATTGTAATAAATACACTTTTTAAAATTTTATTTATTTAAATCTTTACTATACGTTTGGCATTTCATTTTATAAGGAACTCTATCTATTGGCAACTTTAAACATTTCTGAATGAATTGTGACATTCGTTATAGCGAATGTTTGTAAACCGAGAGTTGCCTGTATGGTGTTATGGGGAGTGATGCCTTGTAGTTTGTAGGCACATATCAAAGTTTTAGAGGGAGGTACTACAACCAACTTCTCCCCCCTGAAAATGGGGGCAATATATGTATCTCTGCAACAATTGTAACCACTTGAAAGACTACATGGCATCAGAAGACCACAATACTTAGCATAAACATTAGAAACATGACACACAGTGTTAAGAAAATACAAAAGGTATCTGTGGCATTAAAAAACAACAATTCTGATAATATAAAGTAAACATGTTTAATAAAGGTACTTTACTGAGAGGATAAAAGATTTGGCAAAGTTAGTCAATATCAAGTTCTGGGAAAGGCTACTACACTTACCAGAATTAAGTAATGACAGACAGAAATACTCTACAACCTCCTGTTGCAGAAATAATCCAGCATGTTTCTAAAGGCCCTTTTTTTAAGTGCCCAAACACGTTTTTTCCAGAGTTGTGTCATGTCTGATATTTCATCTTAATCAACCATGATACCTCACAATGCATTTTTTTCAATTACACTGCATAAGATTTGAGATTTGATTCCAAGTTCCTTTAAACTCAAAATGCCAACTTACACACAAAAAAGAACTACAATGCCATGATAGACATCAAACAAAGAATTATTTCAGAAAGCATCTAATGAATCATAATCACGACTTACATCCTACACTGGTTCTGCATGTGTAAACAGCATGCATTTTGAAAGCAGACTAAATGTTAGCACTGCAAAACCTGCAGCTGTTACAAATTAATTATGCTGATGAAGTTTCTGGTGCCCATACTAAAGTCCTGTATTTTAGTGTAAAGGGAAGAAGATTTAATTAAAACAATTTAGATGACCATTCATAATAGTAATATCTGCTAAAGGAATAAAAATGTTTAAGAATAAAAGTTTGTTATATACCTGGAACATAAGTTTTTTTAATAATATTAGTTTTGAAAGCTGTAAGAGAATTGTCCCACACCAAATTAAAATTAACTTTGAATGCTTTAATATTTCATGTACATGGTGATGATGCTCCAGGTGATAAAATGGTAATATTTTTATGACAACTGATGTAATACATAAAGATGACATATTGGAAGCTTCTAACAAAGAGTTCAATATTTAAGATTTTCAGGAACTGAAGAATAAGAAATACACGTGATAATGAAACTGTGTTTTATGTTCAAATTGTTTATATTTCGTAAGTAGTCTGAACTGCAGGACTTGGGAAAAATTTCTTCCTATCAAAAACTATTTCAGACCCAAACAAAACAGGCAGTACTTTATAAAACTGTAAAATCTACCAAGATATGCAAACACAAAAAACATACACTTAGAATTTCACAGAAAAGTAGAGGTCACTTAAACAAAAACGTTTTTATCTGGACTGAAATAAAGACGACAGTGTATGAAACACCAACTTCTTAGATATTTCCATAACCACAACAAATTTTGGGGGGGTGACAAAGTATATCAGATGCAATTGTGGCATGCATTTTTTAAAGCACCTATTATTAACTGCATCAGTGCCAGCCCCAACAGATGAAATATTTGGTAAAAAAAAAAACAAAAAAAAAACAAGACAAGACATTTTACACTGACTTTGCAAAAACCAAAATAGAACTGCCATAGTCAATGATGAAAACATTCATATTTGCAGTAAACCAAAGAAGTAGTCATGAAAAATTATAAATTTTAAAGTTCAAAGCCACCACACAAAGTTTTGTAAGGAATATGGACACTGTATTATCACAACAAAGATATGGAAGCATTATCCAAGGGATTTGATTAATTTACAAACTATTACGAAAAATGAGATCACAGGCATATTACAGATAGAAGTTTCCAAATGCAATTATTATTGCCACATCACTTTCTTAGATATATATGTAGAAAGCACCCAACCAACACGTTAAGAAAACGTGAATAAAACGCATCTTTATTTGGCCATCACACAGATCCATCCCATTATATCAAACACAATTTTAAAGGAAGGAAAAAGCAGTGCATTAAAAAACAAAAAATTACGCAGAAAAAGAAACAGGTGCAAACAATTTATATAAGCAGAGAATGCTAATAGAGCCCCATGCTCAATGCCTGACACAAGCGAGTTCTTGCATCCAAGATCATACGGTAAGACAGTAAACCCTCTATTTAACAGATTTAATGGCTTTCAGAATAATAGATACCATCTGGTCCTGCCTTTTATTACACAAGGAATTAGTGGACATTTTCTGGTTTAAACGAAATGTTCATTAAATCCGAAAATGTCTGCCAATGACTACTGGATTTTTTGCAAATAATCCTCTTTACACTGTAATTTTTTAATAAACCCCATGACATTTTAAATGCCCAGTTCATATTACTAATCTGTTTAATGGTGTTCCTAATAAAAATTACAGTCAAAGGATACATTACTGACATTGTAAAAACTGCAATTTAACAGACAATTGGTATCAATGGACAACCCTTCCTTCCTATTAGGTTGTTAAATCAAGGGTTTACCATATATGAATCAAACTACACATGGAAAGTCACAAGTGAATGATTACATTCATCACCATCAAAATGCTTTCAGAAAATGATGTAAAATGTTCTATGTTTGTTGCATTATAATTGTCCTGCAATTCAAACCACATAAAACTTCAGGTGTCAAAGGATCTGATTACATTTTTAATGCCATGAAATAAAAATATTAATCAGCTGTTTCAACCTGAAGTCACCCAACCTGGAATTCATCTCTTACTAAAAGAAATGATTTAGTAAACTTTCCAAACCAATACAAAGCCCATGAGAGAATGTAACCATGAAGTGAAGACCCAATCCTTGTGAAGGAGGGGCTGGATGGATGTTGCTAAGCTGAACACAAGTGGTTATTGGTTTTGTTTGGCATTGAAGCACACCTTTCTTCTGGATTAAGTGGAATCCCTAATTCACCAGTGCGCAGCTTTCTGCTGATCTCTTCTATCTGCAGCTGAACTGAAATATAATGGGTTAGAAAGGGGCACAAAGCCCAACAATTAGATACCAATCATGGAAACACGAGATGCGTTTTGTTATAAAAATGATGTACATAAGCTCACTTTACACAGGAAACATAACAGACCTTCAGAAGCAAACAAAACAACTTCATCATTGTCACAAAATCCTGAAATCTCCATGAATATATTAATATATCTTAAAACAGAAAATAAAGCCAGGAGTGGTCAAATTCAGGCAAGACTTCAAGGTCTCATATCACAATAATTTCAAAACAGCAACAGATTATTGGCCAGTCCTGGCAGCAAAACATAATTAACAAAACACACATAAAATTACAATAATCGAAGATATAAATACTGTCACATGCATACGCTGAAATGGCAATAAAAAACCTATCTTAGTGACTACACCACACACTCCAACCTATAATATTCTGGCAACATTAATACAGTTATACACTTCAAAATACATAATTACTTCAATGTTTCTAAAAAAAATATTAACTGAACTTGAACAAAACTAGACATGAATCACTGAAAGAAAGACTGTATACTCTGGATTATGCCATACATATGAACATGAAATACACAACAGCCTGCTCCAACGTGAAAACAAGTGTACAATAAATTACTAACAAAAATAAATAAATATATCAGCCTTACCTAAGTATGCTTCTTCTTGTTCTTTACTCAGGTTAGTTGGCAAGACAGTGGGCATACCAGGAATAAATGTTTTTTCTTTTTCATCACCACCCCATCGTGATCTTCTTCTCTTGGCCTTTCTCTCCTCCCTTTCAGCTGAAATTATGTTGGAATGATGGAATTTCATGAGAAACAGTTGGTGATTAGGAAAACACCAGGGATGGGAAAAGAGTAAAAAAAAATTGTGGGGGAGTTTATTGATCAATAAAATATAGCCAAAAGTTTTTCACAATTTCACTATCCAGCAATCACAACCACATTGAACTCAACTCGAACATTCAACTGATAAGTCTCTTAAATACTTTGCACAAAACAATACAAAATTAACATTAAGTATGGCATCACAAAATCACTCAATGAAACCATGATTCAATAGCTACGTTAAATTTCTGTAACTGGCATCTTCAATTTCAGTAACTTATATCTTCAGTCAGTGAGAATATTTAAAAACCAAAGTCTACTGAATCAATCCGCAGAAGGAAGGGCAACTCTGGGAAACTGATCCCTTTGTAGTGTTCTATACATCCAGAAAACAACTACAATGTGTGACTCAGATTCTGTTTAAGAGTGGGAAATGCATGTCAGCTAATGGGGAACATTTTCAGAATCACCTGATCAACCTTATGTCTCTTATACAATTAGGCCAATGACAGATGAATGTAAAATAGCAGTAAGATAAATCCTAAAACCAATGTAGGTAAAAAAAACTTCACTGGACGATGTTTCTGCACTCTCACAATCACAGCTGCTTACTGCTTTGGGAAGACAGCTGAAAATGTGTTAAGTATTGCAGTGTGCCCTAGCACAGCAAATATTCTCCCTATATATCCTAACTTCGCAAACAGGACGTAAAGCACAACCAATAATACCTTTTTTTAAAAAAAATACTTTGGACCAAATATTCAACATTAAACTACGATTTCTGGCCACAAACTGAATTTCTATACTAATTGAACCCCTCAACAAAACTTCATCACGCCGCTTAATAACCATATAGAAACACTTACCATCGGTCTCCCTCTTATGTGATTCTTTACCATTGGACGCCTGCAAGTAGCTAGGATTCAGCAATGAAGTAAAATTTCTCGTGTTTCCTTGCGATCCAAACAACGAATCTATTCTTGCTACTTGTGCATCGTTAGATCCATTAGAACTCATATTTGATAAGCTGTAAAAAATATAGATATGGGACAAAATTTTAAACAACGTTTGAAATGAAATATGGTCAAATATATAATAATGCATTTAAAGTAATATATACAAACAATTTTACCTCACTTTCTTCTCTCAAAGCACATAAAATGGCGACCTTCCCACAAACTTTACACGGCTTCGCGGCAGATGTCAATACAATCTGTGATCACGTCCATGGTATATAGATATATCGGGTACCACGTACTCCGTGACTATAGCAAAGCAGGGTAAACTATGGCAATGCTGGGAATAATCTGCGTCTGTGCCCGTGTCGGCATGCTGTGGAACAGACTACTGAAGTTAATACCAACTATATAAACCGAATATGTCGATGATTCATGAATCTGTACGATTCATGAGGATGGGTGTAAGTTTAAATATGAGGCGTAGCACGTGTTTTATTTAAACTTCCATACATGGATAGCATAAAGTGTCATCTAATTCCACAAAGTGAAGTCTTCAGCTTCTAAAGTTGTTAATATTTTCTTAAATAGTCCTTCTATTGAACCAGATCTTTTCCCATCTGGTTTTCTGGCAACATTCTTCTCAACACTGATTCCCCTCACAATCATCTCTCTTTAGAGTGAGAATAAATTTTACACCCACACAAAAACAATGGGCAAAACTAGTTTCCTGCTTCACTGCTTGGTTTCTCTGATAGCACACAGTGATAAGTTCATGAATTTAGTGGTAGGTTATAAGAACTCACCTCCATTTTATGCTGAGCTTCAGAAAAAGTGGAGCTACACTGCCATACACCCATGTTATTTTGGTGTGGTACTTAATACATACTAGGGACAATTTTACCTTATCTGTAAATGTTTACCTCACCTTTGTAATTTGCACATCGCAGCCTCATGACACAGGCTAAAACATCACTTAACTCTCAATCTATCTAAGCAGTCATACAACAGAAATGCATATCTTCTAAAACTTGAATTTTGCAAATTTTTAAAATTTATTCAAATATGGCGGAGAGAGCCATAGAATTTTCTCAAACACAATTTGTTGATTCTGAAAACAGAATCGTAATTGTGACTTCTTAATGTTTCACAGTATTATCTGTTACACTGGAGTAAAATTACTTTAGAAGGGATCATTTCAAAATCATTCTGCAAGACAAAATACATACAATATGAAACTGTGTCCAGTTCAGAAAACTGCATAGACCATTCTGTTGTAATTTAATTTCACTTACTCAGTTACTTTTAAGAATTGATGGAGCGAACTAGATGCAGCTGAGAACAGAGTCTGGTGGTGGGCTTTTATGAACACGGTGATGAATCTTCAGGTTCCATACAGATAGTGGGCTATTCTTTGACAAGCCAAGTATACAAGTGACTTTTCAAAGAATATCCTGCACCATAGAGTGAATGAGTGAGTTACTCAGTTACTTTAATTATACACAAAATTTGTACAATGTGTGATGTTATTTGATGGTCTATCCCAAGTTTCATTCCTTTATTACTTGTCACAGAACCATGTGCCACCTCCAGAAATGAACTGAGGGCATCATATATTCATACTTTAACAAAACATACTAAGCTACAGCAGTACCGAGTACATGCCCATACAAATGTCATTATATATACACACTCACAACCCATGTTATGAATATTAAAGATTTCAGACAGCTGATAATATACTCTGACAAATAAAAAGTTACAGTGGAACCATGGTTCCGGAGAATTTGACGTAAATACGTCTATACAGTAAGGAGTTTTGCTATGTCTTGCACATGAGTTTTTAAACTCTGTATGTTTAGAGTAGTCATTTTTAGATCACGAATACCAGCAGTCCTTATGAATGCTCTCACTGCCTGAACTCAGTGCGCAAGTCCTCTACCTTTGGGTTGTTTGTACCCTTGGCATGATAAAACACGAAGTCGTGCTTGGATCAAGATCCGAAAAACGCTGCTGGAACTGTAGTTTCAGTTCAGAAAATATATCCGCTGCAAATTTGTGTGCGAATGGAGATTTCAATTCTTCTTTTAATTTCTGATAGCATGGGAAATGCACAAATCAGTTTGAAATTTCAAATAAATCCATTCTTAGCTCGCGGGCCGTAGTTTGCCGACCCATGATCTAGACTCTTGTTGTAGTTGAATACAATTTGTTGAAACGTACCATCCTGCGACTTAAGCACGGGAATTGTAATCTTTTACATTTAAGTTGCATGTTTTTAAATGTGAGATATAGTGCTTCGTCTATTTGATGGTGTCCAATCGTATTTCAGTACTTTTGGTTGTGAAGCTAGCCCTTTGTACCGCAATTTTGGTTTCCACAAGCATCCACAGCCGCTGCACACGAGCGAGATGCTCACGATTGTATTCAATGTACGTTAAAGTTGCCATACTACCGCTAACCAAACCATCCTCAACATCGACGTTGCTAGTGATCATACAGTAGGGCCCCGCTTTACGGCGATGTGTTAATTTATCTTCAAATGTTCATTAAAGAAATACACTTAATCCATTAGGAAGTTAGAGTATTAGGTATCATGGTAAGTGTCAAAAATGTGAAGCCACTCAAATCAAAGCAAGATTCATTACAGCAGATACAAAATAAACACATTACTGTTGCTGAAATATATTAAAATAATGTTTATGGAGAGACTTATAATTGTATCAACATGTCTGTAAGGTGAAAGAAGGGTCAAGAAGAGAGAGAATAAAATTAACAATTCCCATGTTATTTTCAGGGTTGCAAAGCAAAAATATTACTTAATCTTGTCATCAGTCTTCATATTTACTTTTACATTACAATACTGTAAGAAAGAAAAAGGCATATGGAAAAATGTTCTGGTGCTGACAAAGTTGGTGAAAACTGTTCACACCCCATTTATAACATGAATCAGAAAATATTTTTATAGAAAGTAACACTATTCATATACAGTCCAATAACTAACTTAATGAATGCAACTGTTTACTGCACATTTCATAAAGTCTCATCTTGTAGTAAAAGATTTACTTATCCAATCCAAAAGTTTTGTCAATAAATATAGTCTCCTCATTAACATCTCTTATTTGCAGGCATGATGACTTTATTGTTAAGCAGAGCAGCTCTATAAACAAGCCTCCCATTGTCATAAAAGAAGATCAGTTTAAGAGTGGACCACTATAGTGGACGTCCATACATTGACACAGACATCGTAACAATACAGATTTACAATGTTACAAGCCAAGCAACTTTGTGATAAAGACAGAAGATTACATATTATGGATGACAATGTTGGATTGGATAAATAAAGGCTTCGCTTGACGATGACAGTCATGTCAAAACACAAAGTGGATAACTACATTTCATAAAGATGTATTACTTGTACATGTATTAATATCATACCTTAGAAATTATCAAAAGTTGCTGTTAACCTTTGTTGACAAAATTAACTTTCCTATTTTTCAATGTACAAAAACTGTCACTATAAAACTTAACAATAACAAGAAAGATTCTTTAATATCAAACCTAAGGCTCATTAATGCACAAATTGAGGAATGCCTTTTCCTGCAACATATTTTCGTATTTTATAAAATACTGAAATGTTTCTACACTATATTTGAAACATGTTCACAAGAGTGGAAACTCCAATAACCAAGGTGTCCACCCCTCCAAAATTCCATCTTGTTTATTCTTTCCAAATCCCAAACATATATACTTTTTGAATTCTGAGTAAACTTTTTTAGTGAGGTTTACTTAAGTTACTGTATAACAATAAACAACAAAGAGAAACTTCTCTATACATAACTGTCATTGTATATTTACATAACCCAGATACGCCTCTTCAAACACATTAATTGTAGGATTTGAGGTTTTCACAGCAGTGAGTATGAAGATTGCTGTCTTCTATGTTGTTGCACCATGTAGTATGGTAGATGTCCACCAACGTTTCAGAGGTCATACTGCCTCTGTCATCAGGGCAATGAATGAGCCGATCGAGCGGAAAGTGCTAGGTTTACAGTGCTTTCCGCTCTAATGGCTCATTCATCGCCCTGATGACGGAGGCAGTATGACCTCTGAAACGTTGGTGGACATCTACCATACTACATGGTGCAACAACCCAGAAGACAGCCATCTTCACACATTAATTGTATAGAAAATGTGGATTATTAATTTTGGAATATTTGAAACTTTAAATATATGTAAAAGAAATGGCATTTCTAATAACAATTATTCCTTTTAATACTTTCCAGGAATGAAGAGTTTAAAAGCAGTCTCCTAAATGGAAAATATATTTAAATGTTTCCATGACAGTATTTCTTCTATGTTAAGTACAGAAAACCTGAGTTTACAATAAGGTTCACACCCACCCAAATGAAAGCTGAAAACAAAACAGACAATTCTAAAAGAAATACAAAGAGCTGTCTTACAGAGTACATCACAGAATATTCATTCAAAGCCCTTTGTCATGAAGCAGATGAAGAAAGCTGGATTCTGTTTGCACACCATCAGGTTTAACCAAGCCCATGGTCTTCAAAAAACCCTTGAGGTGTTTCTTCCTATAATGAAGAGAAGACTCTTATAGACTCATAATCCTAACACATAAAAATAGCTCAATTTAATTATACTTTTAATTTATATTTTTGTATGATCTGAAGCTTTCACACTGACTAAGTATAATGAATCCTTCTCTGGCTACCAGCCGTGTTGGGTGGTTTAATGGAGAAAACACCAACGTTTCAAGAACCATCTTCATCCTCGTCCTCAGGGTACTAAAATTCTTACTCATCCTCAGGGTAATGAAGTTCAGTACTTCAGCACCTTGAGGACAAAGATGATTCTTGAAATGCTGGTGTTTTCTCCATTAAACCACCTGACACGGCTGGTAAACCAAGAAGAATTAATTAAATGTTAGTAATCTCCACTAGAAAATTTATAATATAGGACAATATTATTTGAATCACAGGACTTAATGATATGTTTGTTTATTAGGTGTTTTGAATATTATACTGTAAGTAATCCTGTGTGTGTGTATAAATTAATTCAAGTGTGATGTGAAATACCTTGACATTTAACAGTACATTCACTAATTCTTACACATCAGTCTAACAAATGAATAATATTTCTAACTCCATGGAGAAGAGTCCTTGAGAATCTGGTACTTGCTCAGCTAGCCAAGAAATGTCCTGCTTCCTACAGAACCCAAAGATTGATTGCCATGCTCACAAGAGGCTGCCACTGTACCCTTACACCTTAGCCAGTTGAACCTTGTCCACACCTTAATGCCCTATTTCTATAAGATCCATTTTAACAATTTTGTGTTTCACTTCCACATCCACAGGCTTTCTTGAAATATGATGTACTATTCTACCATTCTTCTCCAATATCTGAGAAATGCAGAACAGTTGATCAGTAGATAAGTATGCTGAAATTCACAATGATGATACCCAATAATTTTGTCTGCATATGGAGTTAACCTTGACAGAAAAATGTTAAACAAAATTTTGTATGTAGTTGATAACAGCAAAATTTCTCAACAGTCAGTACGGCTGGCCATAAAATGGTTATAATATTAAATTTTTTCACACATTACTTTTGCAAGTAGTTAAAAATTTAGTTAGCAAATAGGTGCAAATGCAAATGAGTAAACATAATTTCAGACAAAATCATAGCATATCCATTAGTAAAAAATAGTTCAATTTTTTTTTTTTAAATTTAAATAACTGCGAATGATGATAAAGATGACGTCCATTATGAAATATGAAGAATAAATTAAGGGCATTCTAGTTCTTATTCACTTAAAATACTGAAATTATGTAGCAATACCATATCTAGGATTTCATTTTGTTTTATATTTTGAATAAAACAATTACAATTACAGACCTACAAGTTAATTGTGATAGAGGTATTTCCTTGACCACCAAATCTTCCCTTTCAAACTAAATTTTTCAGAAGCACTGTGTGACCCAGTTTATGCCCAAAACACTAAAGATTAAAATAAGTAAAATAACTTGTATGTAACATTCCTGTGGTAATGAACCATCAGGTTTCATAAAATACAGGGACTTCCTGACTAGTCGAGTGTACTATTACCTTCTCAAACATTACTGTGCTTTATGGAGTTAGTTAGATGGAGCCTTTTAATACTGACTGTCAGACAAGCCACATGAGAAATATTTTGTATTAGTTACTTGTGCTGATTAAACACAACCTAAGATTAGCATTAATAACAAGCAACATGGATGCAATCCTAAATGTTCTCAAGGCATTAAAACATGCAGTGAACCAAATTTACAGTGGACTCCACTCAAGCTTTCTATACCCAGGAAGTATAGTAAACAAAAATAATAAATACAGTGCATGTACTAGGATCCCAGATTTCACGCAATTTCCATCCAAATCTCTATTTTTACATTATGAATGAAAAGTAAAAACTAGCAGAGGTTCCACATTTCTTTGACTCTCTACAGGGCAGACAGGTCTTTCCTGGGAATGGTGTATTTACTGAAAAATTCATTGAAGGAAACAAGGTACTGTCAGAAATTCTATTTCACTGTGAAAGTGAGCAAACAAATACTTATGTTTACCAAATATTTTCTTTCCACATGCTTGGTATATATTAAATTGATCAGGAATATTAAGATGTTAAAACTGGAATGTAAAGGACTACAAGTTCAAAAGAAATCCAGCTCATTCAGATGTACATGACACAACCACCACAAGCAACAGCAACCAACAAAACTATACTAATCCACCACACTGAACACTTACATACCAAATAGTAGAATGAAGTATACAATAAATGTAATGTATTCAACTGATTCACACAGGAGAAGTGAGGAAAAAATTGGTACACCAGTAACTGAACTGTCTTAAATCTATACGGTAGTATCAGTTAGACATGAAAAATCTAATTGAATAATGCTACAGGTACAAACACAATGCTATATTTAGACAGGAACAAGTGTAACCATCCTAAATAACTATAAACCATAACTGTTTACAAAGTATTATATTATATAAACAACACAAGATTTGGAACTTGTCACAAAATTTCTTGTCATTACTCTTTACTAATAAACACAACTTACTTATGTCACCTGAAAACTGTTTAAATGTAAAGAAACTTTAAACACTACACCATGTGATTCACATATACAGGCTCCAGGAGTCACAATAGACAATATCTAACAAATATTAATTTGTATTTTAAAACTAACTTGTTTACATCTTCACTTATTACTATAAAATAAGGGATATAGGCAAAAACGTTGTATGCAGGGTACTTCATATTTTTTTTAAATGGGCAACCAACTGAAATCAATGCACAAGTGACTGGTAGAATGCATGATGATACAAAGAACATATGAGGACTATTTCACCAAAACACATCTCACCGCCTATTTTGGCAACAAATATGCAATAAGTATGATGGTGTACTGAATTAGTTCCCATGTTAAACTACATGGTATGAAAGGATATAAAGCAATTTATGAATATATTCAAGAGCAATGCATATAAAATTTGAGGTTTTCAGAGTGATAAACATGTGGTCTGTGGTTATATGGCTTACAATACTGTGTAGCCTTATAAGTGGTTTTGGAGGAACATATCACCTTCAACTTTATACCCCAAAGATTGAAGCATTGTGTTCCCATCAAACATTAGTAACCACGTACAAGTCTATAAGGCTTCATAATCCAGAACACAATCCACAACAGACATGTATCATTACATTTAATAAAAGTCCATTTCATATGCTTTATTGAATATTTAGTAAAGGTCCATTTTATAAATACTTTCTACATCCACCTATCCATGCAAATTAAATAAGCCTCCATATGCCTTAAAGGCACTGCTACTATCTTCCTTCAAAACTACAGCAATAGTTACAAAGCATTACCAGTACATGCTAATAATTTTACTGTTCATATTATTACACTCATGCACTGACAAGAATTTTGGTGCCACTAAACATGTGCATATCACTATGTCTTATGCATCCACATTTCATGAAAATAATAATTTATTTCCATGGAGCAGTCTTTATTGGAAAATTGATGGTCACTCAGTTGGCCAAGAAATCTCCACCCTTTTATGAAGCCTGAAAATTTAACACTGTATTCATAACCCACCACTGTACCCTATCCCAAGACAGTTAAATCCACAATATATTTCTTTACAATCCACTTAATATTATCCTCTCTACATTTATATTTCACAAATGGTCTCTTCTTTCCACGTTTTCCAACTAAAATAATAAACACACTTCTAATTTTTCCCATGCCCCACAAAGCTCATCCTTCATGATCTTGATTTCATTACCATGGCATTTGCTGAGGAGCACAAATTATGAAGCTCCTCATTAGGCAAATTTCTCTATATACTGTAGACAACACACAATGTCCAGCACAATTTCAGTGCAATGAGAATGATGATGTATTACATCTACACTCTTATGAAACAAATCCTAGTTCAACAAAACATTTTATCCTGTAATTCCCTCTCTCATCCCCTTTCCTAGACTATAGTCTATTAGGAAATTATGGGCACAAGGAAGAATTCTGCAATGAGAGTGAATGATCACCCAAAAGTCAACAAGAAAATGGGCTTTATTAAATCAACATCAACATTTTACCAGCAATATGAATATTTTAAATTGAAACACACACATAAACATCACATTTATAAGCAGATTTCTGGAAAAATTAATTTATTTTACATTACACTTCCTATGTTTGATATAACTGAAAAACAATGTGTAGAAACATTTTCACATATTTTATGCTTAAATTTTTAAAAAGTATTGCACAAAAACTTTACAAGAAAATGCTTTTATTACTGTGGAAAGCTGAAATCTAACAAAGGTCTACATTTCCTTGTGTGCTAGTAGAGAGCAGTTTGGCACTGTATACTTTAACGAAGAAAAAAATATAGGCTGCTATCAACTTTAACTGAAAACAAATGTCACAATCTTCTATCAATTCTGTTAAATTACAATAACTATCTACAAGCTGTCATAGTAGGGTACAAATGCAAAATTTGAAAAGTCAAAACAGTCTTTGTCTGACCTTATTTAGGTGAAGCCTCAAACAAAAAAGGGACAAAAGCACTCTGACATTAAACCTTCCTGACCATGAATAAGACAAGACATTATTCGTCACTGATTCTGAAAACAAGAAGATACAAGAAAGTCCTGTTCTCATATGTGCAAAATCAATACATCCTCAATGACTTGTACAGTTACATGAGGTGAGGAAGCTGCCAGGGTTGGATCCACATGAACCAGAAATATAGACAATCTGTTTACAACCTAATTTTTTTAAACAATCTGTGACTGTACAAGTAAGAGATATCCAACAATTCTGTGAGGTTCTCGTGATGTTAGGTTTACTTTCCTGTCTCATTTAATCCAATGTAACAAGGTTTACATTTCTTTAACAAAATGGTTTAGAAAATTAAAATTTAAGTTATTATAACTTAATAGACAATAATTTAAATAAACTATCATATGAACAGTAGACCTATCAGATATGATCAAGACATTTGTTCAATTTTTAAATTAATGTCTGCTGACAAGCTTTCAGCAAAAATATCATGCTTTGCGACGATGCTAGAGGGACAAGAGTTATTATAAACATTTAAATAGGAAACTTTATGGGCCTCATGTGGAATAAATCCATTGTGCTTTTTGACACAGAGAAGTTCTAAAGGATTTTTGGTTTTATGTAATCAAGGGGTTACAAAAGTTGAAGGGTTAGCTCCATAACAGCAGTAAATCTCAATAAAATATGGAGTTGTGCAGATGTCAGTGTTTATGTGAACAGCAATTACTGACCATGTGCATAGAATCTTCAAAATACAAAGTTTAAAAACAATTTCACAAAGTAATATAAGACAGAAAATTTTTCATAGGGCTGTAACTGTGACTGTATTATATTAGAAATAAGATAACATAGTAAAATAAGTATTTAACATACATTAATTTTCAAACATTGACCTGCCTGAAAACTTAACTAGAGTGTGTTCTTTCTTCCATTACTTACTTTAAACTTCATGTGAATAACAGCAAAATAGCAACAGATTCCCATGGTCCTAGCTTACTCTTTTGTTCACAATGTAAGTTTATTACATATCCTTTAAATATTTTATATTCAGAGAAATTCTTGTGTTACATATATGGTTAATAAACAATTTTTACTATAAAAAGAAACAGCATCCTTTGAATTTGTTGAAAAAGAAACAAAGTTATGAGTTACACAAATTACTTAAGGAATGAAGAGAGCAGGCAGTCATTAAAGTCACAGTAAATGTCTAAGAATAAAATACCCCTTTTGCAGTAAAAAGTAGTCCACAAAATACACTGAACAGTTTCCTACAACACTAAGACCAAAATGAATAAATACACTACTTTATAAAATTTATAGCTAACAGGACTTGAATACAGGTCATCTAACTGTCCAGCAGTGGAGACTGTAACAGGCATTGGATCATTGTTATTTCACAGACAAGATAATTTTAAATAATTATGCAGTCTTTGAAAGAACTGCAAAAAATGAATGCATAATGGGGAGGCAGTGCCTGCCCATCCATGTACTTCATCTCTGAAACTACATGACTAACATAGATTAAATTTGGTATTGGAAGTCTAAACTAAAAGCTATTAGCTAAATATAAATTGGTCTGTATCAGTCTAACATGAAGCTGAAATTAAACTTCACTATTTTTCTCAAAAATAAGCAATCAGATATAAAATTCTACCAGCATACTATACAGATTTTGTTATGATCCAGAACTCATACTCAAAATCCCTTTTGATGTGGTACAAATTAAACAAAATTCAAGAAAAAAATAAAGTGCATCTATATGCAACATACTTTTATATGCAGTAAATAAACATTAAGGATAATGAAGTATGCATAAATAACAAAGAAAGCATTTGGAAAATATGTGCACTCCAAACTGGAGTATGCCATCATCTATTCTTGTTTTTAAGCGGGGTGGCACAAAATCAAAATGGTTACCTGATTCTTACTACAATAAAACTGGTGCAATGGAATGTGTTAAGTTCCTTGATGGTATGACCAGTGATTTATTTTAATATTGTGATGATATATATGCTGTTCTGCTCCTCTGTAATGAGGAAATACACAGCAGAAATAAGGCAAGAACACCATATGATAAAGACTCTAGTGCTAAACTGTGCTGGTAAGAAATAAAAGTACAAATGATATACATTACTAATAAATGAAATTAATTTATGTAATTATGGTTGCATCATGTAACATCCAATGCTCTCTTGTTCTAATACACAAATACTTCCACTGCTGTCCAGTTACAAAACCAAAAACAACAACAATTTCCCCAATTCCTTTAAACTGCCTTAAATTTAATAATGGGCTGGCATTAAATTTATTACTTTCCTTAATTCTTTATTATTATTATTATTGCTAATTTAAAAGATATGGACACGTTATTTTTGTTAGAAAAGTTTCATATTATGAATTCTATTGCTGCAGATTTCAAAACTCTTCCATTTCAAAAGCATAGGTAGATAAATTAGCTTTCACTGACCTGCAGGCCAAGTTCATGTTGTCAGTCTCCTTAAATGCTGTACATCAGTTTAAAAAAATTCTCTTTAAAAATATGTGCACTAAAATGTTTAGAAATAAAGCTAACTTCATGGTTATTCAATTTATGAGAGCCAAACAAAGAGACGAAAAGCAGAAGACTGAAGGACAATGAACAAATCAAAACAGAACTGGTAGAAATTTCAATTTTTTGCAGTGTTCTGATGTCATGATGAGTTAAAGAAGACTTCACAAGATGTTTGTTGGCCAGTTGCTTGAAGTTTTGAACAATCTTGAGTTGAGTTGGAACTACAGAAGCCCTATCTCCCTCAGAGCCCCTTCCACTGCTTCATCCTTCACAGGGGAAAGAAAATCAACTGTTGCAAGACTCTACTGACCAAAATCTATTGCAGGACTTAAAGTAATTCAAAACCATGCGATATATGAATTAACACCTGAAAAGTTATGATCTTATGAAATATAGTAGATCATTCTGCAAGTATATTTAAAAAACACAGTTTTAACTGTATGTTGCACTACTTCTCTTACAAATATTGTTTCTGCTAGTGCCACACAATCTGGTCCAATTCACTCAAACCAATAGTGCAACCATCTTTCACTAAGTAGGATCTGAGGTGTTCACATCGGTCAGTCTGAAGATGGATGTCTTCTGGGTTGCTGTGCCATGTAGTGTGGTAGAAGTTTACCGCCCTGATGATGGAGGCAGCAAGGGCCTCTGAAACGTCGGTAAACTTCTATCAGACTGCACGGTGCAGTAACCCAGAAGACATCCATCTTCATCTTTCATTAACCCCATTCCCACTTCTCCAAAAGCCAGAACCTCTTATTGTAACAGAATTTTTCCATGTATAATACTTTCTTGAATTATACATTAATTACATGAATTAAACTGCTTTTGGTATGAAAAGATACAGTTCCCTGAAAAATATTTTCCCCACAAGTTCCTAAGAATCCTGAACATGGTTTTGAAACAGAGAAATTTAACCTCTATATTTATCAAAGCTCAACTGCACAAATTTCTGACACTACCACTGGTACCCATCAACAAGCTAAGCACACACAAAGTAATAGCAACTTGATTACAAGAAAAAACTCACTCTGAGCCCTGTGATTAATGTTACTACACTACAGTATATAACATTTAAAAAATTAAAAGTAAATGAAAATAATGCTTGTATATATAGGAAATAATTATCAATTCATATTTAGTATCCACCACTCCAAAATAGGGAAACCAGAAACTTGATATATAATTCTGTAAGTCAAATTTAAGGTTCTCATGGCGATGAGTACAAAGATGGCTGTCTTCTGGGCTGTAGAGCTGTGTAGTCTGATTGAAGTGCACCATTTTGAGGTCCTCGTAACCTCCATCATCTTGGCATTCATTGCCCTGATGGAGGCAACAAGGACCTCTGAAACAATGGTAAACTTCTACCAGATTACACAGTGTTACATTCCAGAAGACTGCCATCTTACTGCATTAACTGTTTAGGTAATGCAGCTTAAAATAAGAGAAGTGAAAATGGTTCAGGAGGGACATATGCCATGACATACTTACAAAATTTGTGTATTTTTTTTCCAAAAACACTTTTAGGTAACATGCATATGACAGAACCACATTTGGTTACCATTTTTGTCTGTTAGACTCACCCGTTTACAACATGAGCAAGTCTTTTTCAGAAAAACTCTCAGACTGGATATGTGCAACTAAAGAATATATCTAAAGAGATTAAAAGTATCCTTACAATAAATATGCAAGGAGTGACTGAAAAAACACCATAAAACACTCCTTATTACTAAATCCATGGAGCAGTTCATTTTGAAAAGTTAAACAGTCACTCAACTGTCATAATATTCCATTGTAATTAAACCCAAAAGTTCATTATCATATTCAGAACAGCTTGCCACTGAGCTCTGCTATGAGCTAAATGAATCCAAACCACATCCAATTTCTAAAAGATCTATTAGCCACAACTTGAGTGGTCCAATTGGCTGTGCTTAGCAGCAGTATACCTCCAAGCCATGAACCCTGGATTCAAAATCTGGTTAAAGCCCAATAATATTGGAATTCAAGTCCCCTGTGCCCATATGACAAAAATTAAAATCTGTTTTTACATTATTCTTCCATCAATGCCTTGGTGACAAGTGGTATCTTCTTCTCTTCAAGTTTTCTACTAAAATAATTTTGTATGCTTTTCTCATCTCACCCATTAGTGCTAACAGAATACTTTGGTCTCAAAATAAAAGAGCCACTTATGTGGATGTTCATGTGATGCCATTGTTTCCCCGAGTCAAATATTAATAAAACAATGTGTCAATTCTGTGATGATACTACTCACCCATCATCTTGATCTCAATATTGCAACTGACAATGCTTTTATGATGGTAATCAAATGAAAATCCAATGTAGCTGAGCAATAAGTATTCATGTACACTCCTCCCTATTTGTGACAGTTCCTTCATCTGAGAGCACATAACACATATTAAAACAACCACTTTCATTCCTAAACACTTGTATTTTTTTTAAGTAACCCATCAGCTGTTTCACTAAATTCTGCATAAAACTACTGCATTTGTCCTACAATATAGCTTTGTGCCCTGTCATCATAGCATGGCACATCCTCAGGTTGCAGATGGAGGAGACGGTCTCCAAATATGGATGGTAGCCGTAAATATGTTGAAGAGTACGTGCAGAAAGTTAGAAAGTCATGGTCGTCCAGCACATGTACAAGTTGGACCCAACTACATCTCACCACACTAAGTAGCATGTTAAAAAATGTCACTCAGGATCCCAAACTTTTATTTTCTTTGGTATGACTAAGCAAAGGTATCTAAAATCAAGGGTGATGAGACGGGTGGAAAATGCAATGATTAAAATTTTGATTGGAAAATTTATATGGAAGAGACCACTTTAGAGATCTAAAACACATGAAAAATATACTATTACAGATATTACAGTAATAAGGCATGAGGGTGTGGACTGGATTCCACTAGCTCAGGACAGGGTCCGGTGGAGGGATCTTGTGAGCAATAAATCTACTTTTTTCATACTTATTGTGTAATTCATATAAGCTGCACACTGCATAGACAAAATATGTCTATGCACTTCATTAAATATTCACATTAAAAAGTTTCAGATTGAAGTTGTGGATATTAATAAGATCTTCTGTCATGTACCAATTTTCGAGCAATGAGTAATTTTTAAAAAAATTAATAAAGTGTGACTCAAGTTTCACATAAAAGAACAATTACATTCAGCTAATTTCTAGTAGAGACTAATGAAGTTCATCACAGTACGTTCAACAGTTCTGAAGAAAAAACAATGCATACAGACAGGACTTTCTCATTATGCATTAATATCATGCACTTGTACAAACAATGTATAAATACAGTACGAACTTCCAATAATTCCATAAATTTTATTTCCATTAACCAATCCATGTTAACAAAATATGGTCATGGCTGTGTGTTCAGTTCTGAAACACATGGATCAAAAACACTTTTCTTTATTCAGAATATGTAATTCACCCTGTCGACTCTTACCAAACCAACAAACCAATGGAGTTACAAATTCAGGTTTTTCTACACCTACCATGATCTGATGTGGTTAATGCACAGAGGCTAATTATTTTATTGCCTGCAATTCATACATGTTAGGATATGGCAAAACTAGTTTAAAACACTCTCTAATCCATATCTAGAGCACAGACATCTTTGTTCTTATAAGAAAGCCTGCCCAACCTGGCAGTAAAATGAACAGAAGATATAGCATGTATGTATTTATTTATTCTTATACATGATGTGAAGCATTCGTGGTGATTGAACTGGTTACACAAAGAGTCTTTTCACGTAACTAACTGACACGGCTAATTGCCCGAGAATATTTTATTGTATTTATTCTCAGTTTATTTAATGCCAGCTAAATAATAGTGTTAAATGACAGTATAATCAATAAATAATAAATTGGAAAGGATGCAGAGATAGCAGTCATGGCTTAATATAAGTTACTGCCTCAACATTTGCCTGATAGGAGGGGGAAAAACACCCTCCCCCAATACCACCACAGTAACATTAGTTTTGCAATATCTTATCATTAAACTTTGTGCAGAGATTTGAACTTGAGATGTCATGAATAAGTAGGAGCACTAGCAATCAGAATGTAATAGTCAGTTACAGTGCATACCTTGACAGTTTGGCAGACTGGCATTTGCAAGTTATGTATATAAAATAAAGGACTCAACATTAAAAAAATGTTAACCTGACTCAGCAACCGGTTAAAATAAAATAAATTACCACAAGACAGGAGTAGATCCAACTCCCAAAATATTACACATATCAAATGTCCAACAAAACAATGTAATTCATCTATGAAACTACCTCTCATCAATTATAGTTTATGTTCTATGAATTTTTGTTTTATGTGAATAAATAATGCTGGAAGTGTACAATTTCGTTTTCAAGTTGTGGGAACAGTAGAAGTGACATCACTGTAGCACCAAACATTACTGTTACATTCAAACCTGTGTTAGTTTCTAATCTGTTTTTAATAATTACATGTTTGCAAATGTTAGTGAACCACACACTTAGTGAATCAGTCTGACAGATCATGCAGAGCTATGTACAAATGGCAGATATTAAACATTGAAACAGATCATGTATTGGCCTAACATTACAACCAATGATCTTAGTGTGACAGACTACAGACTGAACTAGACAGTCATATAATTTCCAGTGAAGAAGTCCTACCACAATTAAACAAGATTATTTACTGCAACAGATAAAGAAAGCCATTCCCAGAAGTATATCAGTAAGACATGCCACAGTTCTCATTACTGATGTTAAGAAAATTTAATTTATTTCAAACCAAAATTTTAAATGTAAAAGGCAAATAAAAGAATAAATAAAGAACAAATTTCTTACCAGTAAAAAACATTTCAAATTGCAAGCACAGCTGTTTAAAGTACCAAAAAAGTGATAAATGTTGAGAAGCCATGTTAAGCAGTCACGTTAAATTAAAAAGAATAATTCTGAAAGCAGATGAAAGGCATTCAACACTTACATATCCTGAAATATATTTACAGCTTTTCAGTTGGGAAAAACTTCCACATGTTTCTGCAATATTTTGCTAATAATGCATGCACAAGACAGAGCAAATCATTCAGTCTACGGTGAAATACAGGTCACCAAAAGATGGGATCAACAGCAAAAGCTATTTAACACCAAATAATATAAGAGGACGATCATGCTCAGTGAACCTGAAAGGACTAGGGAGGGATCACCATGGTCTATTTCAGGTATTATCCCTCCATTCACCTGGACAGACTGACAGAAAC